CTAATCCATAGCCACCATTGGCTCCACTTCATTCCATCCTTCTATGAATGCTTACCCCCTTGTGGACTAGGCTGGCTGAGTGGGTCCAAAAGCGTTAGTATCATATGATTGGTCAACATAGATATGCAAAACATTAATGCGTGATTATATAAGCAGCGGCTTTATGAAGCGAACTGCTTGAGATTGCTGAGGTAACTCACCGCAAGCTTAGCCTTGAGATTCTTTCACTTCATTAACGAATCTACCGACTATGGTTATCACAACATCAGATGATGTGCATGAGAATACAGCCCTTCTGGGGCCCAACAGGGTTCCTCAGGAGAAACCTCTACCAAAGGCTCAGGTCCTGCTACTCTGTTATGCCCGGGCCATAGAGCCCTTGGCCTTCTTCTCCATCTTTCCTTATGTCAGTCAGATGATCCAGGACAACGGGAGTACCAAGGTCTCAGATGTCGGTTTCTATGCAGGACTTATAGAGTCGCTGTTCTCCCTGACTCAGGCCATAGTGATGATTTTTTGGGGCCAAGCGGCCGATCGCGTCGGGCGGAAGCCTGTCCTAGTCTTCTCCTTATTCGGCGTGACCGTGGCGACGGGCCTCTTCGGACTGGCAAAGTCTATTGCGCAGATGGTTTTATTCAGGTGCCTTGCCGGTGTCTTTGCGGGGACTGTTGTCACCATCCGCACCATGATCGCTGAGCACAGCACCAATAAGACACAAGCTCTATCATTCAGTTGGTTCGCTTTCAGTGGAAACTTGGGTATCTTCCTGGGCCCTCTGTTAGGTGGTAGCCTTGCCAACCCAGCACTCCGGTATCCAGGTGTATTTAAGGATACTGGGTTCTTCGCTGACTACCCATACGCGCTATCAAGCCTGGTGGTGTCGCTGCTCGGGTGTACCGCTGCCTTTTCTAGTCTTTTTTTCGTCCGAGAGACGTTGAAAAAAGAGCCTGCTACATCGGATTCCAACCTTGATGAAGGGCTGTCGGTCTCGCAGCTTTTGAAAGCCCCCAGTGTTGGGATAGTTCTCTACACATATGGACATATTATGGTACTTGCCTTTGCCTACACAGCCATAATCCCGGTCTTTTGGTTCACTCCCACGTCCCTCGGTGGATACGGCTTTACCCCTCTACAAATATCGGCGCTGATGGGTCTTAATGGCGCCGCCCAAGCTGCGTGGCTCCTCCTGGTTTTCCCTCCATTGCAGAAGAGGATCGGGTCAAATGGAGTCATCCGCCTATGTGCCTATGCCTATCCTTTCTTCTTCCTTGCCTGCCCAGCTGGTAATATCCTCCTGCGCCTAGATACCGAGGCATCGGTTAAGGCTTTCTGGGTCTTCCTACCGATAGCGCTGGTCATCGGCTCTGGGGTCAGCATGAGCTTCACAGCGATCCAGCTTATATTGAACGACATCTCCCCCTCGCCCAATGTCTTGGGTACGCTGAATGCCCTGGCCTTGACCGGGGTTAGCGGCCTGAGGGCAATTTGCCCGGCCCTTTCCACCACCTTCTTTGCGCTGGGGGTGAGAACACAATTTTCCGGGGGATATGCTATCTGGATACTGATGATCTTGCTTGCTGCCGCGTTGTCTGTTGCTGCGCGATATCTACCTGAGCCCGAAAAGCCTGACGAATCCCGAGGTAACTTAGTGGATGAATGAAAATAAGGAAGGATGTTTTTCACTACCGTTCGACTCTGCAATGGTGATATTCTGACGATTTCAATTTTTTACATAGCAGTTGGGGCGGGGCTTACTTGCGGGTGCGGCTCGCTGACTGGTGACCCTATGTCTGTTTGCATGGTTTAGACCTTTAGATAATACAAAGATGTGATGTCTGTTCTGGCTATCTGCAAACTGAGAGCATATATGAAGCTCTTCGTCTAATTCGCTGTCTAGTACTCTTAGTCTTCTTCAGGGGCCAAGCCTAATCTCTAGAGCTATACGCTTGCGACTATGAATTGGTGTGTTAATGGGTATTGTTGGGTGAGGGTTGAGGAGCGGTGGCGATGTGAGGAATGCATTACGTTAGTATGGATGAGTTGAGAGGGAGTCTTATATGACTTGCTAGTATGGGATTGGATAGATTGTGTCGTTTTGTATTGGTGTTTTATCTTTCTTTTCCTTTAACATGTTTATGTGTACATATATGTTTGGGTGGTTAGGTTGATAGTGAACCTAGAATATAAGGACCGCTGATAATGACGCCTCTCGGTGCCTGAAACGGCCGCCTCTCCATGTATTCAAAATCTTATACCTGTTCCGCTATGATCCGATTCCTAGCTATGCTGTCATTAGCAACCGGTATAAATGGGAGTATGGCATTCGGCTGGTTCTTTTCTCTCCTGGCCACCTCGCCAGGGGGTCCATAGCCACCACTACCGGGGGTCTCAATCAAGCACCGATCGCCAGGTTGAACTCGGATCGAACTTTTACCGCCGACATTGATACAGCGACCAGCCTTCGTGATCCACGTATTCTTCCCGCGCTGACCCTCTTCTCCCCCTGCCATCCCGTACGGTGCGAAGCTCCGTCGTTCTGAAAGAATCGACACCGACATGGGGAGCCTTAGCTCAATATCCCGGACAACTCCATCGCCACCGGGGTACAAGCCCACACCACCACTTCCGCTCCGAAGACTGAAACGCCGCAGGATGACTGGATATCGCCGTTCAAGAGACTCCGGGTCGGTGATTCGCGTGTTAGTCATGTTCGTGTGTACACCACCTGTGCCCGCACAACTGGGGCCCGCGCCGCTGCCGCCGGCGATGGTCTCGTAGTATCCAAGGCCATTTTCACCATCGTTGCCGAAGGTAAGGTTGTTTATGCATCCTTGGCTTGCGGCGCACACTTTGAAACTCTTGAATATGACATCCACGATGCGTTGCGACGTCAATACATTGCCGGCGCAGACAGCCGCCTCAGAGCTTGGACGCAGGAGCGATCCATCTGGAATGATTATTCGGACCGGCTTGATACATCTGTGGTTCAGAGGAATATCTGAATTAACTATGCAGCGCAGGGTGAAAATGACCGCTGAATAGCAGATTGCAATCGGAGCATTCCAGTTTCCTGTGATCAACTCGGATTAGATCTCGATGTTCACACTACGACTATAGAACCAAATTACCGTATACTTCGGGGCCTGTGCCAGTGAAGTCGAAAGTGGCTGACCCATCTGTAGGGCTGATCGTCACTTTAAGCTTGATTGGTGTACCGTCATCCATATAGTCTACAGCAGAGATGTCTTCTCCGCGGCGCTCATATGCGAGGCGCTTCAGGAGATTGCGCACGGCCAGCTCAGCCGAATCTTGAATTGCACCCATGTAAACCTATTACCGATTAGCTATAGATCTTTCATCTCGCGTTGCGCTTGACCGATACCTGAACCACTGGGAAGGAATACTCTTCAATGAGACGTCGCATGAGGCGAGCACCACAGTGATTTGCAGCGACTTGGGCTTTGAGATCGGTGACATTGTCATGGAAGCGTCGGGAACCACTACTGCCTGGAAAACGTGCTGGCTCCACGCATAGAATGCGATGCAGCTCCTCTTCATCGAAGTGGCCGCCACGAACTAGGAGATGAGAGTTAAAGATGGCACCTTCTTCCGAGAGAACCTTTGACATTGGTGGCATCGAGCCAGGGAGTATCCCACCCACCTACCAAACGAATTCGTGAGCGTGTGTGATATTGGCGAAATACGAGAGTAAAAAGTACTCACATCTGCATGATGGCCGCGCGAAGCGACCCAAAAGATAATACCCTTTCCCGCAGAGTCAAAGACCGGGGTAACCACCGTCAAATCCGGGAGATGAACGCCCCCATAAGCTTGCTGCCTTTTAGAAAAGAAAATATTAAGACCGGGGTTTGACTACAACAAAATACTTACCGGGAGTATTGGAAAGCAACACATCGCTATCTTGCAGCCTTCCATGCCACTCAGCAATCTGTGACCGCACGGCAAAGGCCATACTGCCAATCATGGCTGGTACATGAGGGGAATTGGCAACTAAGTCCCCTTCTGGAGTGAATATAGCACAAGTGAAATCGAGCCGCTCCTTGATATTCGCGCGGGTACTGACGTTCTGCAGGACACGGCCCATCTGTTCAGCTACTCCCATGAACCGATGCCGGAATATGGAGAGCTGAACCGGGTCGGTACTTTCTGAGCTGGTCGACTTGGGGCTTGGTGAATCTATGTCTAGGAGCAAAACATCTTGAGCGATCGTAGCCTTTGAATCTGGACCTACTACGATCGTCTGCGTTTTGTCAATAACCATAGCGGGTCCCTGGATCTGACTTCCTTCAGAAAGAAGACTAAGATGATAAACAGGCGTGTCCACCCAACCGGCCGCAGTGAAATACGTGGAAACCCTCGAATTTGGGGTGGTCGTCGTCGTAGCAGACTTGGGATTCATGAGACACTTGGCCCGGGGGGACGAAGAGCTCCCATGGAAAACACTGCATCCAATTGCCCGGACGCGAATGGTGTCCACATACACCACACGGTTCACCGGAGTAAATCCGAATTGCTGATGGTGGGCATTGACAAACGCTTCCTTTGGGCCACTCTTGGGGCTATCCCAAGGTATCATGATCGAGGTCTCGCTGCCATCATATCTCATGTTCAAGAAACGGCAGGCCTGTATATTGCTGAATGGCTCCATAGTCTTGCTGCTTCGTGCACAGTCGACGAGGCTATTCAGGAAATCGTTGATAACATCAATGGTCGACTCATCGAAGGCCTTCGCACAGACTCGCTCTTCTTCATGTACAACATCCGCTAGTCCGATCCCGTAGGCCGACAGAATCGAGGAATATTTATGAATGAGCACGCGTTTGATACCGAGATCACTAGCAATAGCACAGGCAGGCTGGCCACCCGCACCACCAAAGGAGGCGAGATGGTGCTTCGCAACATCATGGCCCTTTTCCAGGGTCAAGCTCCGAATGGGTCCACACATTGCAGAGTTTTCGACCTGAAGGAACCTTTTCAAATAGTTACTTCTTCGCTTACAACACAATCAGATACAATTCTGGATTTCGCTTACCCATCTGCTACTTCTGCCCATGTAAGGGACATGCGTGTCTCCTGGTTTATAACTTGGGTTAGCTCCTTGAACTTGGCGAGAACGATGTCTCTGTCTAATGGCTCGTCCTCATTGACACCAAAGACTGAAGGAAACTCCTCAGGGATCAAACGGCCCAGCGCGAGATTCGCGTCCGTCACAGTCAGTGGACCACCTTTGCGGTAGCACGCAGGACCTGGATTGGACGAGGCGCTCTCAGGCCCAACCGACATGAGCCCATCCCGCCAAGTCAAAATACTACCACCCCCCGCGGCAATTGTATTGACATTGAGCTGTGGGGCGTGGATGGTAATCCCAGCAGTCGTTGTCTCGAAGATATGATCCAGCTTGCCGTCATATCGACTAACGTCAGTGCTGGTTCATCGCATATCGAAACCAATTACTGGTGTTCGCGTTTCAGTATCGAAGCATATCCGATAACGCCTCCTGCTGGCCCTGACAAAATGGAGTGGAGCCCTGAAAGACTGGACGAAGGTACCAAGCCTCCATCTGATTGCCTGAGTTCTAGTCGCGTCTGAGAGTTTTCGATGTCGGGAAACCTTCGGAGACATTTGAAGGTATCGTTTGATGTTGGGTGTCAGGTATGCATCAACAACCGTGGAATTACTACGAGGCACGACCTTCGGCCTCGAAGATGTCTCATGCGAGAGTGACACATTCTCAAACCCGATTTCGAGCGCTATATCTCTGATCTGTAGCTCGTGCCTTGGGAAGCTGTACGAATGCATCAGGCACACTGCCAGCGAGCGGAAGCCTTGGTCGTATATCTTCTGGATATCAAGTCTCGTGTTCACCATATCTAAGGGCTGGAGCACTTGGACTATCTCTCTGGAGGGTCCCATGACGGATTCCACAGGCTCCGGAGATGATAAATGTATACTTCGGAGATCCGAGTCGCTGCAAGCCTGCACAGTGACCCACTCTTTCACCTCGAAGGCTTCGGAATATAAGGGCATCGGCCGCTGGATCGCCAAGTCAAACATATGGGGCCGGCTTTGGTTTTTTATATGAAGAACATCCTTGAAGCCTTCAGTAATCAGTAAGGCTGTCCGCTCGCCTTTCCTCTCAAGAAGCGCATTTGTTGTAACAGTTGTGCCCATGCGAATCCATTCTTTCTCAGAAGCCGTTTAGTATTGCTATTGGTCTCAAGCTATCCAGTTTAAAAAATAAAAAACCAACCGTACCAACGTCTCTCAGGTCGAGCTCGGTTCCAGGTGGTATGGTACAATTATGGTATTTTTCTAGGACGCGACGAATGGCCTCAGTCGGTGCATCCTTGTCGATGGCCACAATGTCCAAGATATTACGATTGCCTCGTTGAGAAAGCACATCGGCATCGTCCCCCAAGATACCGTCCTCTTCAACGAAACCCTCATGTATAATCTCAAGTATGCCAATCAGACGGCCACGGACGAAGATGTCTACAACGCCTGCAAGGCAGCCTGTATCCATGACAAAATCCTGGCCTTCCCGGACGGATATGAAACCAAAGTAGGTGATCGGGGGTTAAGACTAAGCGGGGGCGGAAAACAGCGTATCGCGATTGCGCAGACTATATTAAAAACCCAGGGATCATCATCCTCGACGAGGCCACCGCTGCACTGGATTCTGAAACGGAGGAGCAGATCCAGTAGGCATTGGCCGCGTTGTCGCGAGGGAGGACAATGTTGATTGTTGCACATCGACTGAGTACAATTGTCTCCGCTGACAATATCCTTGTATTGAACGAGGGGAAGATTGTTGAGAGTGGGACGCATCGGGAACTGTTGGCTAAGAATGGGAAATCTACGACTATGTGGACCAAGCAGATTAAGGCGCAGGAAGCTGCCCATTAAGGAATATTTTGTATAATGCTTATAATAATACTGAAAGAGTTGTTATCGGCCAGATTCAAGTGCAAATGCGAACCCTAATGTGACCTTGCGTACAACTGAGTTCCATGTTTCGAGTTCGAGCGCCTTCTATGTCCATGAGCACGTCTATGCCGGCGCCTTTGTCCTTGCACCAGCCCAGCTCGACCAGCACCAGATTTACCTACCCCCCTCGTCATAATCCCAACGAACACCAAAACAATCGCCGCAAGCAACTCGGGGAAAAACCCCAAGACAACACGAACAGCCAGACTCCCTGTCGTCGGGTTTAGATCCGCGCGCTGTGTGAACTCCGCGACAAGCATGTATATCACCGAGATCTCGAGAAGGGGTAGAGCGATAAGGGCGCCGGTTAGGAGCTGTGTTTCGGGTGTCTTGTGTTAGCATCACCATTCCTCCGTATCCAAACCAGAGAATGCCAGCAATCAGGAAAAGGAACCGGATGAACATACCAAAATTCCCTCCCTCCTGGCCAAGCCCGCCGGTGCACCTCGGTTTCTACCACTTTTCCACCCCCAACCCCTCCCATTCCAAAGCGTCCACAGTCCCCACGAAACGAGCACCGCCCATGCAACCTCCATCAGCACCATACCGACCTTTAAATTGGACAAATCACTGTCCTTAGCCATATCGCTCAACAACCCGCCAGCACCAACCCCAACCATTGCAACCCCCGTCGCGAGAGGACATGGATGAGCGCCATAAATGCCCATTCGGTTCGTTTGTTGGGGACTAAACAGTAGATTCTCCTATGTCACAATGAGAATATATGAGATATTGCTCTCGCTCTTGCTTCTTGATGAGTGACAGGAAATAAGGTTCGGTCTTGGGTCAGCTTTGGGAGAACGTACGCCTCATGCAATATCCCGTCGATCGACAGCAGCAACGGCGAGAGCCCGATACTGGATATTATCTGGGTGCCAGCGTTGCGCGGGTCGTTGAGGCCCATGGCGGCACCGGTTACGCGAAGAACGCAGAAGGCGAGGAGGTACAGCCAGGCGAGGAGGCCATGGCGGCCATGGCTGCAGAGGAGGTAAATTGTTGGAAGTGTTAGGGGGGCGTAGAGGGCGAGTTGCGCGACGAGGATGCTGGATGTCATCTTCAGTCTAAGAGATGAGGGTATTGGTGTGGTATAGGTTAGGAGAGATGGAGAGATGGATTGGGGTAGACTGGAAGAGAGAGTGTCCATCTAGGCAACAAGACTAGGGCATACAGTTAGGATGCAGGCCGAGACGCTACTAAACGAGACCGAGTATCCTTGTCAATCAAAGCCAATCATCTGCGAAGTATCATGCAGGGGGTCATCGACTAAATCAAATCAAGCAATCCAAACCAAAGCTTGAAGCAAACAAGACCAGCCTAAGCGCCGCCACCTTTCTCCTTCTCCCTGCCTTCTTCAGCCAAAGAAAGATACCTCCCTAATGCTGTAATAGGAAAATAGATCCTATACAGCGTATATGAGATGTAGAAATGGTTTGGGAACCCTGTGCTTGTGAATTCGATCTCTGTCCACGCCGCCGCCCCACCTTCACCCCTACTCAAGATATCATCCTGCGTATCCACTAGATGCCTCACCCCGCGCTGCACTGACCGATCCTCGGCCCCACACACTGTCAAAATACCCACCAGCGCCCATGCCGTGTGCGAGGGCGTGGAAGGTCCGCACCCGGCCCGCCAGGCTCGCGGTACGAGAGGACGGATTCACCCCACCCGCCGTCAGAGTTTTGGATCTGCTTTAGCCACTTCACTGCACGATTCACCATGGTTTGTATTTCCGGCGCGAATTTCGGGTCATGCTTGAAGTACTGCAGCCCGCAGAGAACGAGGCAGGTACCATAAACATAGTTTACCGCCCATCGGCCGTACCAGGCGCCCGTTGCTTCCTGAGTGCGGATGAGGTATGGGATTGCGCGGGCGCAGGCGCTGTTGATGGTTTTGAGGAGTTGTGGATCCGCTGCTGCATCGCTCTCTCCATCTGAATATCCATATTTCTCCCCCTTGCCGGGATTCTCGGCCGGAAGCATAAGCAAATCGCGCAACATCCCCAAACACTCAATGGTCCGCCCTGTCACATCCGGTGTACTTGGATCACAAAGACTTTCCATATCGCTAAACGGGATCTTGTTCAGAAACAATCGGTTATTTTCATGGTCGAACGCCGCCCACCCGCCATCGGCATTCTGCATGCCCACAATCCACAGCACCGCATCGCGCACGAGCCTCGACCGCGCGGTGGCGGGGTCACGCGTCAAAAATGCTAGAACCGCCGCAGCCGTATCATCGATATCTGGGTACCATGTGTTATTGTACTCGAACGCCCACCCACCGACGGGGATGTTGGGCTGCTAAACGCGCCAGTCGCCCTCGGGGCCGCGGTGCTGGTTCTCAGCCGTCCAGGCCAGGGCGTCGGCGATGCGGGGGTCCGATTTTATGCCCAGAGAGGCGGGAGTATCTTGTAATGCGCGGATCATGAGCACCGTGTCCCAGACGGGGGAGATGCAGCATTGGAGGCGCTTGCCACGTTTGTCTGCCCAGGTGAAGCGTTCGATGGCCGCTAGACCAAGCTGGATACGCTCATCATGCAACTTGTACCCCTCGAGCAAAAGGGCCTTGATGCCAGTGTGCATGGGCGGGATGATACCTGCCCAGTCACCGGTTTTCTCTTGGTGCTGCAGTATCCACTGTATACAGCGACGGCGCGCGTAGCCTCTTGTGGGAAACCGGCGGAGGCCGCCGAGATACGAGAGGGCTTTATCAAGGATGGTAAAGAAAAAGGAGACAGGGTCAGTTGGGTCAGAGGAGCCATATGGGAGAGGCTTTGTGGCCGGGTCCAGCCAGAGCTCATCCAGAAATGGATTTTGCTGGTGTAGCCCGTTGGGGAGGGGGTAGAGCGGTCTGTGGTGGGCGATTATAAGGAGCGGGACAACGTTGCTGCGCGCCCACGAGGCAAGGCGATAGATGCTGATGGGGAAGTGCGCGGGAACAAGAATAAACTCTGTGGGCAGCTGGGGCACGGCAGTCCAAGGGACAAGACCGAACTCGGCGAAGAAGATGCGGGTGAACATGCGCATCTTGGAGAGCCCACCGGCGGCCCGGATAAAGGTTTGCGCTTGGAATAGCTCAGGGCTGTCTGGGGACATTCCTAGAATTCTCATGGCTAGGTATGCCTCTGCGCTTGTGGAGACGTCGCCGGGGAAGTTGGGTGCGATGCCCCAAGAGCCGTCGGCGTTTTGCTGCGACAGCAGCCATTGGCGCTATTGGCCGCCTTCGTCGGGGTCGATGTGTCGGTAAATAGCGTAAAGAAAGAAGATGTGCTCGCAGGTCACGGTCACGTTAGACTCGAGCTCGCCGCACCAGTGGCGCTGGGAGATAATCTCCCAGGCGTAGTTGGTTGCTTTGGTCAGGGCCGTTCTGGTTTGGGCTTCGAGGGGCTGGCCAGCTTCTGTAGTTACCATGGTTGCCGTAGTCGCCATTGTCAGTGATACTGAGCAAAAGAAGTAGGGCGGTTAGCAGATACCCTTAAGTACTTGATCAACCATCCCGTTCCCCTCAGAACTAGGCCAGCCTGGTTATTATCACCTGCATAAGCATACCATCATTCGGGGCTAGTCTGTAACCTCGGTTCTTGTTCATCCAGGCAAGGGCCTAATCCTTGCAATCCTTCCAATATGAGGGGTTATATCAGGCTCATAGTCAGGGGACCTAATCATCACGACATCAGTTGGCGACTAGGCACTGTTTCCGGATGTTTATTGGATAATTTCTTATCGCATCCATCATTTGTGATTGACTCACTAGTATGGAGCGAATTGGACCGAAACCCATACTGCCCGTATCAGCTTTCCTCTGTTACAGGAAACAGTACCATACAGTTATAAACCCTAACACGGACAAGGGGAGGGGGAAAGGCTATATAAACTTACCACTATTCACCATCACAACCACCACATCACTTACCCAGTTCAATGCCTCCTGCCTAATTCAAGGCCTGCACAGAACAAACGCAATCATGTATACAGCCCTTTACCTAGCCATCTTCACGGCTATTTTCCACTACACCATCTTAGTGGCAATCAAGCAACACCGTACCCGCAAGATCCTATCCCAGCTTGTAAAAGCCCACAATTGCTCCTCCCCTAAGACTGAACGCCCCTGGGACATCCTGGGCCTGATCAAAATCTACTCCTCGACCAAACATCTACTCAACGAAACTGCGCTGAACAATGTCGCCGCCCTCTTCAAACGCTACGGCGACACCTACGCCTCCCGCATCCTCACCCAGCGGGTGTACTTCACCTGCGACCCACGAAACATTAGGCATATCTTGATCAATAGGTTCAGCGATTTTGATGCCTCCGATGTACGCGCCCATCTCTTCGCCCCGATTACACCGCAAGGTATCTTTGCTGTAGACGGGGCGGAGTGGAAAGAGGCCAGAGGTTTGTATGCGGACATCTTCTCTGCAACCAGGAAAATCTTTGATCTGCAGTTGCAGGAAGATGGGTTCCAGAGCTTGATGAAACATATTCCGCGGGGCCAGGCAGTGGACCTGGCCCCAGCTTTTCTGAAGCTGGTACTGGATGTGAACAGTGCTTTTGACATGGGAACTGGACTTGAAACGCTCGAACAAAATCAGTCAGCAGAGAAGAAAGAAGTGGCCCAGGCATTAATGTATGCCAAAAGAATTATGGCGCGGGATGGGTTCCTGGGCCCGTTGCATTATCTCCTAAGTCGCAAAGACTTTTATGCGGCTTGTGAGACTGTCAAGGTGTATGTGGAGAAGGTTGTGAGGAAGGAAATGACGGCGAGGGAGTATCGAAAGCAGTCCAATGCAGCTACAGTGGATGACAAGCGACAGAAACTCACGCAGAGTCTGCTGTCGCGGATCCTGGATAATACCAACGACGTGCCTGCTATCCGTGACGCAGTTGTCACAATCCTCATTGCGGGCACGGATTCGGTGGCTAGTATGTTGTCCACTACGTTCTTTCTCCTCGCACGCCATGAGCGCGTGTATGCAAAGCTGCGCGAGGAAATTTTGGACACGATAGGCATGGAGCCACCGCCATATGACAACATCAGGAAGGTCACTTATCTCCGCTATGTTTTCAACGAAGGTGCGTCAGCGTACTTACCTAGAAATACGAGATATACATACGTGGATACACCAAGCCAACTGACTGAAACTCTAGCAATGCGCGTCTACCCGCCAGTTCCCTTCAACGCTCGCACCGCTAACCGGGACACATACCTGCCAGCGGGTGGAGGCCCAGACGGGCAATCCGGTGTGCTCATCCGCAAGGGCCAGCGGGTCATCTTCGCCTCGTGGGGCAGCCACCGCAGTACGCGCTCATTCGGAGCTGACGCGCTTGAGTTCCGGCCGGAGCGATGGGAGGGGTTGAAGAGTGAGTCATTGGGGTACATCCCCTTTAGTGCGGGCCCGAGGGTGTGTCTAGGCCGTGGGTGATAATCCCTTCCATATCTTGCTGTTTTGCTGGTGGCAATGCTGATACCGTTGGCGAGGGTGGTAGAACAATACGCGCTGCTCGAGGCCTCGTACGCAACGATCCGCATTATCCAGACCTTTGAGCGGCTGGAGAACAGGGATGTGCGCCCGTGGATAGAGAAGATTGGCTTGAACTTGTCGAACAAGAATGGGGTGCTTGTGGAGTTGGTGCGCTGAAGATGTGGAATACGACGTAAGTGTATTTAGTGAGACGACGGAGCTCAGTTAGAAATCAGTGAGGTAGCCAAGTAGACCTTACCAACATCCAGATAACATGACTCGACGACTACTTGATATCATTGGTAGCACCCTAGTACAAGCCTTGCCCAGTCCGCTCAAGCTTGCGCAAGCCTTGGCAAGGGCCAGAATCCTTTGCGGAGGCAGATCAATCTCACTGGCGCCAACACGTATAACCCCTGTCTTTATTTAATTTCGGTTCCCAAATTTGAAATCATGTTACACGATAACGACCAGGATGGCTAGATAAGAGGTCAAGACTGGAAAATGTTGCCATGACTGAAACCGAGACCGAGACCGAGACCGAGTATCCCTGTCACGCATTGCGCCGTAGGCATGGCATCTTGGACAAGACCTGGTCTATTTTTTATGGAAACGATCGGGAAGCAGACATATCTCCGACTCTACTATCGGGCGATGATGTACGGTAGAATTTAAAGGATATCGACTCTCCTGCGTGCATGCCGGATGAACTGAATATCATAATTTCCTCTGAACTACACCGCAGACAAGATGCCCACCCCAACAAAAGAAAACAGTAACCGCCCCACTGACGCCGATATTCTATCCGACCTGCAAACGTACAAGCCTGTCACAGACTCAGACACACGCAATGTCTGGGCCTTCTGGGACAAAGGCCTATCCAACAGCCCCGGATGGAACCAGCGGAATGTCATTAGCTGGGTTCGACGACTCAGTCCTAAATGGACAGTCCGAGTATCAGACCTTGTCAAAGGCTCGCCTAACCATGTATCCCAGTATATTCCACAAGAAATGCTCCCAGCTACTTTCTGGAATCGAACAATGACCGGTCCTCACGTAGGACAGCATAGCTCTGACCTTATCCGCCTACCGCTGCTCTACCTTTATGGCGGCGTGTGGCTTGACGTCGGGATGCTTCTGTTCCGATCGCTGGACACCCTGTGCTGGAATGCCCTGGTAGATCCCGAGACTCCATACGAGGTGGCGGCGTTCAAGGTCTCCATGGGCCCCGAGTTCTCCTTTCTGTTCAACGGCCTCATTGCGGCGCGGCGGGGAAGTCTTTGTGTCAAGTATTGGCATGAGATTTTCTGCACGCTGTGGGATGGGGCAACGAGCTGTGTGGGGATGCATTCACACCCGATGCTAGCGCATCTGCCGGTCTATGAACCACCCTCCTTGAATGGAAAGCGCCCACCGTTCATGTATGCGCAGTTTGCAGATTACCTTGCCCAGGTCTTCTGTCTAGAACGGCTCAGGCATCTGGTTGACCCCAGAACGAGATGGAATGGACCAAAGTTCTTTGAAGAGAAGGTTTTGCTCTTTGAATGTGTAACAGAAGCATACTGGGCGCAGAGATTGACGGACTGGGATGGGAGGAAGCAGTATGAGTTGTTGGACCTGCCCCGCGGGAAGGACGGTTTGGACAATGAGCGTGCCAAGGAGGCCGAGGCACTTGTTCAAGGTGTGCTGAGCATGTCCTCCACCATGAAGGTGTCGCATGGCCTTGTTAGTGCAGGCCGAGAGTATCTAGCTGAGATATGGGACAATCCGGAGAACCATGACGCGGATATCAGGCCGGGGACGTTTGCGGCGTACTTGCGTGAGGCCAGCGAGACGTTTGAGCAGACAAAAGAGCTGGTGCCGCTTAAGATGCCCGTGATCGAGAAGGCAGTGCTTCGGGCGGGAATCACAGAGGTAGTTGGATAAGGACTCGAGTTTGCTGTGGGACACGATCTACAATCATTTCCACAGGCCAGGACATTAGGTGTTCCCACTGGGCAGGAAGAATTCGTTGAAGGGCCATAATGGATTTGTTGGCAGTGTCTCCGATCCACCATATATCCTGTAATGGTGCCGACAAGGCAAGAAAGTAGGCTAAAACCACCAAAGCGCGCGGCCTCCTCTTCTCGAGTAAGTCAATGAACTCAGTTGCCACGAACAGAGGGAAGACCATGAGCCGGCGACAGCTGATTTGCGGGTGTTCCTTTGCTTCCATGGCCATCCAGGTGGAATTGATATGCGCGACGGCCTCTCGATATGCTTCTAGCGCCGTCTCGTCATCCTCATCGTCGGGGACGGTCGGAAGCAGGAATGAAAACGACCCAGCATCAGAATTCGCCCGCAAGGGAATAGGAAAGGTATCAATAATACACCAGATATTCGCGGAATGAGTATTATGCCTCATAATCTCCAGGGCTGAATCAAAAACGGCTACCGACCTGCGCACTAGATGCATCCATTCATTTACTTGTTCATAAGGAGCAGCAGGACGATCTTGCAAGGTAGCAAATACATTGACCTGTATCAGGATGCTTGTAAAGCACACCGCATCCGCAGTCTCCGTCGTTATGCCGCCGATACAGACTCGATGTTCGCGCAAAGCCTGCTCGAGGTAAAGACAGTGTATGTCCGGCAAGCCAGATTCGTCCTGGCTGGTTTTGGACAGATGCAGGGCGGAGATTGCGAAGACGGCATGAAGGAGAGGTTTGTAACAGAATGCGAGTTGGGGCACATTGATCGACCAACAGTCTTTGATACGCTTCAGGTGGGCCCCGGGCATAGTAGCGCTGGTGAATAGAGTAAAGTGATGCAGCAAGCGCAGCTCCATGTGTTCGTCATTACTGGGAGCTGATGGGCTGGGCTCGAACGGCCGAGGTTGTATCCAGGCTGAGGGGGGGACCGCTCCTTTTTCCGCAAGCCTGTCATAAACACAGTGGATCCCATGGCGATGACAGTCGCGACACACTGGTCGCGCTTCGTCACACTACATCAGTCAGGCCAGATCTTGTAGCAATAGATCCCGCTTACCTTGACTCGCCGGGCGCGACATCGCTGACACCCGGTCCTCGACTTACGGTGGGCGAGACGGGGGCCCTTGCGCTTCTCACAGTTGGACGAGTCCCCTTCGCTCTGGGGGTTTCCTTGTGGCGAAGAGGACGATTTACTGTTTGGGATGGCCGAAGTCATCGTGTGTTGGTCCCACATGTCATGGTGATGGGAGCCTCAGAGCAGCGATGACATATCCTGGGCCCTCTCGGATTGAGCGAAGAGAGCGAAGTCTTTCTCAGTTTGTCTAACGGGAGCCGCGATTTCCGGGTGATTGACGGTGTGGCTACGTATCTTAAAAAAATATGGAAAGATGGACCAGGAGGAGATGCAGGGAACATATAATTTATGAGTCTGTTTCGCCAATCACTAAAGTGGAAAACTTATCACGTCAGATAATCAAGGATTTTGGTTGAAAGTCGTGAAAGTCATGGTGTATGCAGATCGCCCCGCCCTGCGGTGAATTGGTCTGCGGACCTAAGCGACGGATACCTACGTACGCAGCGCTCAGTTCATCTCATTTCCTCCTCGCGCTGAAGGTGCTAGCTAAGATAGTACCAATTGATTCCTTTTTTTTTTTTTGTTTTTTGGTCGAATATTTACTCGACCATCACACTGATATACAGACACCCAAGGGCCATTCGAGTTTGGTGCAGTCTGTGGCCGAGGGTCCAAAGATGCGATCATCAAGCCGATGCCAAGACCGGCCTCGAACGCCAGCATTGCTTCTTTAGTTTATTTCTAGTTATAGTTAAATATAGTCATTCTTAATAAGAGTGCCGTTCCCTAACTATCCTTAGATCCTGGTAGACAAACCTGGGAACATTAAATTTTCAGGCACCCGCATATGCCTCAAATCCATTTTAATGGAGCCGAGGTCGAAGAACGCATCCAATCCGTCATTGACAGGCAGAACAATATTACATTTAGCTTGGATACTTCGGGCATTCGGATTGCCCCTTTTACTCTCGTACCGGTTCTCTGGGACGGTCCGTTGAACTCTATTGACGGCATGCTGATTGTAAGAAGTAACCTCTGCCCAACTCTGAATGGATTTTACTATTGGATTGCGGTATCCACTTCTATGGGCACGCCAGTCTTGACTATCTGATTGGCAAAGTAACTAGACTAATTGAGTAACATAACTGGGCCGCGCGAAAAACACGCAGGGCACTAAAGCAGAGCTCTCTGTTTAGAAACCAAAGGACAGACACTTATACAACCAGTAAGGTCCCTTATTGTATCAAACCTATGAATCAAAGATTGAGTAGTATTTGCCCCACTTCGAGTATATTCGCAGCACAGGATTGTGATGTTTCCCTATGGTTTAGGTATCTGCTGCCACACTTGCAGCAGTCAGGGTCTGTACATTGATTAAAGAAATGCTCTTCCCGACGCTTCCAACAAGGAATATATTGTCCGATATCTCGATTTAGTCCATTGTAACCTGGTGGGTCTTGCTCGGCGGGCACGCCGTGTGGCTGACTAGACATGCCAAGCACCTTGCACACAAAAAAGTTAAACGGATCTCAATCCTCAAAAACACCAGCGGAGCATTGCTGTCCTATACTTGGCTCAGTTCCTAAACATTATGACCACGACCATCCGCCCTGCCGCGCCAGATGAAATCCCCGCCATTGTGGATTTCATCATGGCGGCCCGCGCCGACATGTTTTCAATGCTGGATCCATCCTTACACCTCCAAAAGGCTCAGCGTGAACTCGCCAACTTCCAGCAAAGCTATCTGGAACATCCCGACGGAGCCTTCTTCACAGCCCGAGTGGATGGTCGCTTGATTGCCACCGTCGGCTACGTCGCCTATGACCAGCGTTTCCCCCAACTGGACTTTGGCCACGAACGGGTCGTCGAGGTGTTGAGGATGTACGTCCACCCTGATTGGCGCCGAACTGGTTTAGCTTCGAAATTGTTCGCGGCTCTCGAGCAGAGAGCACGCCAGGAAGGCATTCGGCGAATGTATCTGCATACCCACCCGTTTTTACCGGGCTCCATCAGCTTTTGGGAGCAGCAAGGCTTTTCCGTCGTCCACGTTGACGATGATCCTGTGTGGCGTACAACGCATATGAGCCGATTTCTTGCTGCTGGTGAACGGTAGCAAACAGATCTGCTATCGACTGTCATGAAATCATGAAATGCTTCCACAAGGCTGTCTATTAGCCCGTCATCAATTTCCACCGCACAGCCCGCTTGAGGGCTGGTTGAACAAAACCACCCCTACTATTGAGTAAAGGCCAAAAGTTCCTCGTTAAAGAATCTCATTTCTGATCTCAGAAGGGCAGAGCATTACTCTATAGTAGGTAGCGGGAAAGTATTTATCCAAACATAACTTATAGACCTATGCAAGTAGCGAAGGTCACTTCTATATATATCTTGGCAGTAGCCGTGCTTCGACTGCGTGTATTGTCATAATCATACATATTGTACACAGCTGGTAACATTTCCGTATTATATAAAAAGCAGAAGCAGAGCCAACCAATATAAACAAACCCTCGCGTCGTGAACGTCAAACTGTGGATGCGACTCCCCTCGCCGGATGAAAGCGTGGCCAAGCGTCTATGCCTATGTTTTGCACCACGGCATTTTGCATTTTCTATCTGTCCTCATAGGACAGGTTCGATTGGAATCCGTGTCCTTTCGACAGATCGCATGATGCCTTCATGTTCCGATTTATTCGACTACACATCCGGGCGATGGATGTATGTTACTCCGCGCGGACCGTTCGCAATGGCTTGCTTTGACTGATTCACAAGTGTAGGTATAATGACGCCTTACGGCACCGAGAGTGGAGGCGTGTCTTCAACGTTCCAGAGCTCAAGCGACTAGCGGCTTCGTCCATTCGCCAAAAGGAAGAAGATGTGGTCGCTTTCGAGAAGCTTGCTGAGGGAGGGTTCAATAGAAGCTTCTTAATCACTATGCGGGATAATTTTCAATTTGTTGCCCGCATTCCGTATCCAGTAATCCAACCTAAGTCTTGCTGATCGCGAGTGAAGTCGCAACCATGGATTTTCTCCGTTCGCATGGCGTACCAGTCCCAGAGGTCTACGGCCACTCAGCTAGTGCTGATAACCCAGCGCAAACAGAATATATTCTTTATGGAATTCGTTCAAGCACAGAGCCTGGGCGATATTTGGTTCAATCTCTCCGGAAAACAGAGAACCAAACTAATCGCAAAACTAGTACAGCTAGAGTCTCGATTGTGTGCATTGCGGTTTCCAACAAGTGGGAGTCTCGATTACAGCTCTGACCTTCCAGGAACCAACAAGGTCATAGTTCCGAGTTCCTCGCCAAGCGACAACGGCCGCTTCTGCATTGGCCCCGATACGTCACTTGGACTATGGTACGGGAGAAGAGCTGACTTGCGAGCATGGACCATGAGATTATACTTCCTCCAGTTTTAGGGATCGAAACCAAAAAGGCGCCAGTGGTTAATGTATCACAGACCAAGAGCGCCTAGCATTTCTAAATGCCGGTGCCAAGAAGGAGATTGTATACCGTTCGAGATTCGGCAAACCGCTTCAACCCTTCGCGCGTCTTCGCAGAGAGACTTACAACTACCAGCCACAGTCACATCTTGATTACATTGCAACTCTATAACAATACCTTCAAATTGCAGCCAATCTCATCCTTCACGGCAATTTAACCCTCCATCGTCCAGTCTTGCGGCATCCCGATCTTCAGCCGAACAATATATTCGTTTCTGACGAATTGGAAATTAGTGGATTGATTGACTGGCAGCACCGCACCATTCTCCCTCTTTTCCTGCAGTGCGTTATTCCTGACAGTTTGCAAAACTACGGCGACGGCGTCTCCAAATCTCTTCAGGAACCCACCCTGCCCAGCAATTTCAATGAGCTGAAATTAGAAGAGCAGTATGAATAGGCTGAACTTTTTCGTCAGCTTCACTATCTCTATGTCAAAATGACTTCAGAGCTAAATCCTGAACATTACAATGCTTTGGCGTATAATTTCAGCGTGCTGAGGCGGCGAATCGTTCACTATGCCAGTGATCCATGGGAGGGAGACAATGTAACACTAAAGTCGAATCTGAATGCTTTGTCACGAAAGTGGGTGGACATCAATGGTGGCAATGCATCACTTTGTCCACTCGTGTACTCTGATACTGAGTCAAATGAATGTTTGAGGCTAGCACACGCACAGGCAGAAGCAGATGAGCAACTCAAAATTTGTCAGGACCTGATCGGAGTCGGAAATGAGGGCTGAGTACCTACGGACCAGTATGAGGGAGCCACGGCACGTGAGCAAACGTTGAAGAGAGATGCCCTCAATGCAGCTGAAACGGCAGAAGAGAGAACGAGGATACAAGAGAATTGGATCTTTGATCATCTTTGATCAGATGGTTATATGTGAACAGCAGCAGCACATAACATTCCAAACGTTCGAGGCCCGTCTCCTTCTGTATGTTATTAGTCCCATGGCAGACTTGCGAAATATCTCCTTCATGGTATCTATCATTGACAATGAGGAGATAATAATCAAAAAAAAAGAAGCATCTTCAGACCTTTGCAGGGTGTTACACGTGATAGGGTTGGTAAACCCGGGAATCAATACAGGCCATTCCACCAACTGATTCGTTATAGCTTACGGGATACTATTTCAGAATAGATATACCTCCCTCTTGAGCTATAATACTAGATCAGGACATACTGTTAACCTACGCTAAGCTGCCAGATATCAGAGACCGAGCAGTCCCAGGGACAGCTTATAACCTCCCGGCATTGCTGTGAACAAACGAATTAACACTGCCTCCTGGATAATCAGGAAAGTAACAGCAGAGACAAGCATTGAGAATTTATCAGTCCGCCAGAGTCTTGATTTAACTAACCCCAATATACGCTCTTCAGAGATACAATGATTATCCAGCACTGATAACTGTGGATAGCTGCAGTAAATATACCTTTTTCTTTTAGAAGAATATACTCTCTCGGTGTATATCTAACTTCTAAGATACTTAGTACTTAATAGGAATCAGGATATATTTAGACTGGTCAGGCGAAATTGGTAAATCCTGCCTCTTTTAGCTTAAGTGGACCAAACATCGAACACACCTTTCGTGCTGATTTTGTTATATTACCGACTGAGTTGCGAGTTTCATGAATTTTTGCTGGATAATCTGATAAGCCATAAGAAGAGACCCATCATCTGGATGGATGTAGCATCATTGGGGATTGATGACCTGATAATAATTTGTTGTCTTTTATAAGCACATTTTATCCAGCATGTATTGTTATCACTCACCAATTCCCATGGACTAACACTATTGAATCGCCATTGAGGCGGGGGGAAAGCTTAGAACATACCTATAGGCAGTAGTATAAATAGCTAGAGGTGGCCTTTGTATCCTACATTACGTCTTCATCTGGTATCGTAAATGAGTAGTGGCCACACGGGCCTCGCGTATTTCGCAATTACCTCTTTCCCATAGAGTAGATAAAATATCACTTGAAATATTTTGATAAGCTCAGGATCTGGGAAGGAGCATACTAGATCGATGTTATAGAATAAGATACCCTAGCTAAGTAGAATAGAAGCCGGGAATTAACCTACTGCATCAGGAATCGAGGTATTATCGCGGTCATAGTAGGCATCATTCCATACAGGAGTAACATCAAGGAGCTGCCGCGGCATAAAATGGGAACCGCTCCGTACCTCTGACCATGAACTACAGCCAACTCGCACCAGCGATCGGTCGAGAAGAAGACCTAACCACTGCCATCAAGAAAGGGAGAGCCTTGCCCGGTGTGAAACTACTTACTGGCGACACCAGATGCATTATGAGGTTGAACGTTGCCTCCCTACAACGTATCTTCTCATATTCTGGCTGTACACGTTGTACCTGGTTTTCAAATTAATTTGAGGTGCAATCATTGTAGTCATCCTTTCGATAATAGCAACCGAGTCATCCGCCCGAGTCTCCACAAGACTAGTAGGATCCTATCTGGGATGCGGCGCGCCGATGCGATGGTGAGATGTGTGTGGGCCATATAGTTCGTCCACCAAGTCTGGGCGCAATGAAGTGAACTAGTGTTCCTTTCTAATCCGAGGGACAATGAATATCGCATGAAGCTACTCAAGGATATGTAATCCTGCCGTCCACTTCCGTAGGATTTTGCCTCGTGTCTCGTCCCATAAATACCACCTGATAGTATTCCTGCTTCTTCTCTTTTGTTGTTCAAATCATAGCGCTCGGCATTCTCTCAATCTCTGCTTCGCCTTTAACACATCATGACCTGCTCCACTGAAAAGAGAAAGCCTGTTTTTGTCCTGGTGCCCGGCGCCTCCCAGAATCCCGCCCATTACGCTTACCTCCTCCATCTCCTCCAGTCTGCTGGATATGGGGCTACTACCGGTCTTCTCCCCAGTGTGGGCGCCCAGGGCGGGGTGACCGCCGCCGATGATGCTGACTACATCCGCAAGCATCTAATCCTCCCTATTCTGAACATCGGCAATCAGGACGTGATCCTGATCAGCCATTCCTACAGTGGAATGCCGGCCAGCGCGGCTGCGCGTGGGCTCGGCCCTGCAGATCGCGCCGCTGAGGGCAAAATAACCTCCGTTGTCGGCCAAATATTCATCGCGACCATCTTACCACGGGGGGGACTGAGTGTGATTGATTCATTTGGCGGTCATCTGCCCCCTCATATGTACATTGATGTATGTATCCTTCCTTTGCCCTTTCCCTCTTGTGAACGACCGCCAAAGTCTTATTTATGTGCCTCTTGTAATTTTACGTCTCTGATTATGGTCACCAATAGCAAGAGCACAATCTTCTCAAGTGCGATGATCCCAAGCCTCCCCTCTTCTACGATGTAGAACCAACCCTTGCGGATGCGGTGGCCCAAACGTCGCTCAGTCAGGGATTGATCTCATTCTCGAGCCCCTGCCCCGAAGCGAGCTGGGACACCGAGGCCTTCCGCGACCGGGTCGCATATGTCCATACCCTAAAGGACCACGCCATTCCGTACGAAGCGCAGGTCGCTATGGTCCAGGCTACCGGGGTGAAATGGATCACCTGCGAGATCGCGGCGGGTCACAGTGTGCAGTTATCCGCACCAGAGGAGCTGAGCAAGATCATTCTGGAATTAGCCCAACAATTTCCTTTACCCTGACCTTAATCGTGGGACGTGAACGGAACTAAGTGGGCCTAAACGGCTCGGGCGATAGGCATCAAGTGGCAGCGTGCTCCTGACTGGCGAGTGGAGTAGGGGCGTGTTGGGCACCAAAATTTACCAAAGGAGAACTGAAGCTCGAGTAAATGTGGATATTTCACCGAATTGTGCCTTACGTTCATTGTCACATACAACTGTGCAGTTTCTTTTGCTTCTGGTAATTGATGTGTTGCGCCTGGCTATGGTCTGACCCTTGTATGAGGTTCAGTAAAGTTTTCGCCTTGTTTCCTTGGCTTCAAAATTGGAATGGCATCTCTCCTAGCCCATAATGCAGTTTCCAATGAAAGTGAACACAGGAAGATATTTCCCGCGGTGGAGAGAACCAGATAAGCACCAAGGATTAATTGACTACGGTCCTTAGCAGAGGTAAACAGTAAGCCACAGGCTTGGAAATCAAACCTCCGGAGTAGACGAAGTGGAGAATCTGGTCCTAGTGCCAGTACTGTAAGCACTAACCAGTCACTAGTTCATACGTCGACAGAGATAATCCATGCCCAAAGGCTAGACACTGGAGACGATCGGAACACAAACTTCGCTCTTTGGTAGTAGAATATTATGATTGCTCACTTTCCGTGGGAACGCTGCAATGTAACCTGTTGGCCAGAGCCCCGGCAACCTCCCCGTTCGCAAATTGCCAGTGGTAATTCAAGAAAGATTAACCCAAGTCGATAGCACAGAGGGGATATATGTCACTGTGCAAATATTACCGATTATCATGTGCCAACCTTTCCCCTAAGACAAGTCGTCGGAGAGTCTACCTCGGCGTTCGAACGTGACGGACATTGGGTGGCGTCGCCCTAATACAATGTTAGATCAGATTAAACCACAAGTTTGTAGTGGTCCAAAACTGTCGAGTCTGGACAGACCAACACAAGTCAATGATAAATAATAGAACATACTAGACCTTAACGCTAGGTAAGAACAGTGTATATATTGTCCTACCTCAACAGGAATACAGAGATTCTGCAGGTCGTCAGTGCCGTAAATACTCATTACAACTATTGCCAACCATTATTAGTTTCACAGTTACTCTCATCCATCACCCAAGCGACAGTGTCCGTTTCGTAGCATATGGATCGATGTGCTGGATCCACTAGCTCCTGGTTTCCCAGGCTCACTGATGATCATGATGCTCACTCGCCTATATAGGTATTTCTTTCGAAGTCATGTAATTCGGGGTGCATTAGGGAAACCTTCATAACCTCCCTGATATATGAGGAGCTGGAGGCAAAGTACTGCCTGGCTGTTATACAGACGTTCATCTTGAGCCTTTCCCCAATCGCTCGATCCCTCTGGCCACTGTTGAATGTCGGCTACCATGTACATTTCGGCACTGATGTTGACTTCCACATCGAGCGAAACATCAGATGGAGCTTCCGTTAACTGAATCGTTACGTTCATTAGTTTTGATGAAATCACCAGGGTACGAGAGGAGATGTCTCTCTCGGTTTAAGCATTACTCGGTGACCGTAATATCTCACAAGACGGAACGCTCTGATAGACTGGCGAGAATGGACGATAGTTACAATGACATTTATGGTAGACAGAGGCCCATGACCACGTGGGAATATTTAGTCTTCGTGACTCGCCCAATGTCATCATCACCAAATCTAGTTGCAAGTGCAAATTATCTCCCCACATACCATATAAATAGAGACCAAGGCGAGATTATTGGAATTGTTGCGCGATACCTTCCAGAGCAACCAGTAGGTCTCCGGGGTATGTGAACTGACAAGAGGAATAAGCGACACATAGCTCTTGCCATTCACGTACGGGGTTGTTAGTTTGGTCCCAGGCTTCAGCGACGCCATTGTGGAGATGACCTTCTATAGCCTTCTTGGTATCGGGAATGCTTCTTAAATTACCGTGAACCTCTCATGAAACATTTGAACTGGTATATGGTGCCATAGATCCATACTGGTAAGGGATACCGCCACTGAAACATTCCCATGCCAGCTCCTCTCTGCCATAATGCAAAATGCGCCGGGATAGGATTCGTACCTGGAAGGCTTACCCGCGTCCAAGTGTCCGGAGCACGGTCTGTTCTTTTTGGTAGCCCTTCTCGAAGTGTATAGATGCTCTAACAAAGCGACAAAGGTCATCGAGCATGCTCATCGCATGTAGATGTCAATGTTGCTCAGCGACGCGTCGTGCCTCCGGAGCCTGTGTCTCTGATGCCGTTGGTAATAGAACATACCGGTGGTTACATTCGGGGATGCAGGTGCAGTGACGGTAATTAGTGATCTCTATAAATGGTGACCGTAGAGAGCTCCTTCCATTCATTAGGGTCGTCTTGTACAATACGGCGAGCATTGATCCAGATGACTTCCACCCCAAGTTCAAGACTCAAATGCATTGCATCAGTCAGAGTTTGGGGAGTCTAACTCCGTGATATACCGGCCTTGTCAGACGGAATGGTATCTTGGGTAGACAGGAGATCCTTGTCACCTCCCAGCAATAGCTGAGCGCAACTAATCTGCCTGTTGACTATGCGATGTTTCGTACAGTACAGGGCTCACATTGTATAAACCTAGATGACCCGCTTGGATAGATATGGCTTCCTCTCACGGAGCACGCTTGACGGGATTTTGTGCACCATCTTAGCCATTGAGCAGCTTGATGAGCTGCCAGTTTAGTGTTCATTGTCAGACCGGACATCATTCCCTCTTGGAAACGGCATCAAAAGCTTTAATTTCTGGAATGCCTCTACCACGATGTCAGGAAGGCCAGTTGAGCCCCTAAGCTGCGCAACGTACCTTGATTACTCTAAAATGCAATGGCTCTAATTCTATTGATGCTTCGTATTGGTGACTTGAAGCCTATGCAACTAAGGATCTAGATTTCGGTCATTACACATCAATATCTCCTGGGCTAGAGGTTTGCCCCGTCCACCAGGGCGACAGATCGGCTAATTGTCTGAGAGCCTGTTCTCACGTTAATAGTTGTATTATTGGCGTCCCACATCAATATTTCGGGCGCGTGATCAAGGCCGTATCACATGACTCTGCGGCCTTCCTGTTTGGGTATAAACACTTTAGGGCTTCGTCTTCAATTAAGCATTTGATTAAGCATTCGGTTAAGCATCGAACTACTCATCCCACGCAACATTGGCAGACAACATTGGATGTAATGCCTCGCTTGTGAAGAGGTCCATTCTGCTCCGGCTACCATGATGCGGGGCGTAGTCAAAACGGCCTAGACAACCCCTCTAACTGAAGCTTTCACTCTCTCTCATGACGCTTAGAGGTGGAAGAAAAACATCCGGCTAACAAAACCACAATCCGCTAAAACGGCTGACATTCGATTTCCCCGCAACTAGCTTTGATTCATCTTGTGTAGTGTTGACTCGACTCTGGCGGTCTGGCCAAACCCTCGTATTGCTCAGTGGCCAGCTATGTGCCTCTCAACATACCATACTTGAAATTAACCGATCCTTTCGCTAAAACCACAGGCTCCACGGCAATGCACGGACTGACTAGCCCCCCTTCTCCACACTTTTGCTGTGATGTGTGTTGCAGTGACCTCCTTACTGGCCTAAAGCATGAAAGCGTTCTGCAAGACATTGCCAGTGCAAATCCACCGGTTCGGCTCGTCATAGCTCTGATGTTGTCGAAGGACTGCCGCGTAGACTTGGAACCAATTTTGGTTCCTATATTAACCGAGCTTCTGAATGCTTGATTTTGGTAGGATTAGCGACTCAACAGTGTAAAACGGATGTATACTCATTGGAGGAAAATCCTGGGGACTGTCGGTTGTACCTATTCCGTACCCCTCTCAGTCGAAAAGAGCGAACGTCTTGAAAGATTATATAAATAAAAAACTAGACATATTTAGGACTCGTCGATGTACTTACTCTACCTCTGTAGCTCTGAGAGCATCTCATCACCGGCTTTGGAACTTGCACAGGCGTGACCGTCTAAAAGAGCTCAAACATGTCTTCACGCACCTGCGCCGTTGCTCTTAGTCTTGTTGCCTCGGTCTCCCTTGTTGCTGCTGGGCCCTGTGACATCTACTCCTCGGGCGGCACGCCTTGTGTCGCCGCGCACAGCACCACTCGTGCCCTATACAGCACCTACACTGGGCCACTGTATCAGGTGAAACGCGGCTCCGACGGTACCACGACCGACATCGCTCCTCTCTCGGCTGGCGGTGTTGCCAATGCCTCCACCCAAGACTCCTTTTGTGCCAGCACAACCTGCCTGATCACGATCATCTATGACCAGTCCGGCCGCGGTAATCACCTCACCCAGGCTCCGCCCGGTGGTTTTAATGGCCCGGATTCGAATGGGTACGACAACCTGGCGAGTGCGGTTGGTGCACCAGTCACGCTGAACGGGCAGAAGGCATACGGCGTCTTTATGTCGCCTGGCACCGGGTATAGCAACAACGCTGCCAGTGGTACCGCTACAGGCGACGAGGCGGAGGGCATGTACGCGGTCCTTGACGGCACCCATTACAACAGTGCCTGCTGCTTCGACTATGGTAACGCCGAGGTCAGCAGTACAGATACGGGTAATGGCCATATGGAGGCGATCTACTACGGCGACAACACTGCCTGGGGAAGCGGCGCCGGCAGTGGTCCGTGGATCATGGCCGATCTCGAAAACGGCCTGTTCTCGGGCTCCAGTGCGACGAACAACGCCGGCGACCCGTCTCTTTCCTACCGGTTTGTCACTGCAGTTGTCAAGGGAAAGGCAAATCAGTGGTCAATCCGCGGGGCTAATGCTGCATCCGGCTCACTATCCACGTACTATAGTGGCGCGCGCCCAAGTGCCTCCGGATACAATCCGATGAGCAAGGAGGGCGCCATCATTCTTGGCATCGGTGGTGATAACAGCAACGGTGCCCAGGGAACCTTCTACGAGGGTGTTATGACCTCTGGATATCCGTCCGATGCCACCGAGAACTCCGTACAGGCTGACATCGTAGCTGCCAAATACGCCATCACCTCACTGACAAGTGGCCCAGGGCTGACCATTGGCTCCTCAATCTCCCTACAAGCGACGACGGCGGGCTACACGACCCGCTATATTGCACACGACGGCACTACGGTCAACACCAAGGTTGTCTCGTCGACGAGTACCACCGCCTTAAAACAGCAGGCGAGCTGGACGGTTCGCACTGGTCTTGCTAATAGCGCCTGCTTTTCGTTCGAATCTATCGATACTCCCGGTAGTTTCATACGACACTATAACTTCGGGCTCCTCCTCAATGCCAACGATGGCACAAAGCAGTTCTCCGAAGACGCCACGTTCTGCCCGCAGACCGGCCTCAATGGCCAGGGGAACTCGATTCGATCCTGGAGCTATCCTACTCGTTATTTTCGCCATTACGAAAATGTTCTCTACGCCGCCAGCAACGGTGGTGTTCAAACATTCGACGCCACCAACTCATTTAACGACGACGTGAGCTGGGTGGTCCGCACCGGCTTCGCTTGATCCTGGTCCAATTTCTGCGCGCTGTATCGGCGTCAACTCGACCCTGTCGATTGTTCTCCTACGAATTGTTTGTCAAGTGTTGAATTGATAATTTACCAGAGCATACTTACTATTACTTTCTGCCTTCTGATCAGCTTTGCATACAGTGAAACGTCGCATTTTGAACTCAGATATAGCCCGTATCGTTAGGCGCCAGTGCTTGTCCTTGGGCTTGTAGCCACCAGACTATTGTTTATCAATTGAAATAACTACTTTCCCATTCGAAGATCCCAAAATAAATCAACGAGAAAATAACAGAAGTTAAATTACAAATTAGCCAGGTTTCATTGATCCTGTCCACTTCGATCAACGCCGTCGGTTCAACACCCCATTACACCATAGTATCCCGAATAGATAAACAAACTCTCACTGCTCATTATTCTTCTCGTCAAAACAGACACACAGGGCCGCGATGAGTGCCAGATCCACCCCCGGAGCCACGATCACCGCATATGTCTGCTGGTCGAAGAACATCTGGCGAGCCCGGAGTAGCTTGCGATCGATCTGCGCCACCACTGCTCCCGTTGCTTCATCCACGATGTCCGCCTTGGAGTCCCGCCAATTCCCCTTCATCTTCAAGGAGACAGTGCTGCCGGTGCTGGGGGACGTAAAGGTTGCGGTGGCTTTGGAGCCGATCACTGGGAGCGGCTGTTAACCAAAAGGCAAAACGAGATCGAGCAAAGAAAGAAGTGAGAGATGGTGAAAACCACAGGGAAAAGGCCACTCACATGAGAGACTACTCTTAACCTCAAGTAACTTCCTTCCATCCGGAGCCTGAGCCACATAGGTGGAATGGATGTGCAGGTGTTCCTTGACGAGATCAAACAAGTGATTGCCCGCCATATCGAAGATCGATTTGCGACCCGAGATGCTCATGTGCTTAGCTTTGATTTGAAATATGGGCTGGCCACTAGCCAGCTTCACATCAAAGCTGTCCCCCGAGAGGGAGAGGACCTTTTCTTTCAGCACCAGGGTCTCGGTTTGCGGCGCGATGAATTGGTCCATGATCGCGACCGGGGTCGGGACTGGAGGGAGTTGTTGGGAAGCCATTATTCTGCTTGTGAACTAGGGAGTAATTGTCCCCAAAGTATTCTACCTGAGTTCCAAACCTAGGTTAAAGAAAGAACGATCAAGGCCTGATGTATCCCAAGCTTATATGGTGATGAGAGGATCACGGGTGGGGCAGATGTGGCAGTGTTGGTTCGAGCCCGATACGACGTCTGAAATGCAAATCTAACCATGGATGGCTTAGTTTGTGGCGAAGCGACGTTCGTATTACGAACTACTCTATTCGGTGCCATGCAAGTAGCTCGAAAGGAAAATCTCCGGCGAATCTGACGGTGTTGGGCCAACTCGAATGTAAACACAGCACTATACGCGCGTCCCAGTAGTATCCCAGACTCGCATTATTCGCATTCAAGTAGTCTGATACTTTTGCCTTAATACACTGATCTCCACTAAATGATCCCATCTTCTCCCCGCTCAATTCTGGTCATCTGTTCCACCAGGTTCGTGGCTATCCTTCTCGTCGTTCGATCCAACGCCGTCACAGTGGAGATCCATTCGAACCGCTTCTTCCAGAATGCCCATCGCTCCTTTGACCAGCCTTCAGGTCCAGTCCATTTGTCCCAAGCAGGAATCTCCCGGCCCAAGGAGCCGGCTTTGTCATATATCTCCTTGCCACAATACTCGATCCACACCGCCGCAGCGGGCACAAACCCATTCAGCGTCCTGATATCGATCTCCTCCAGCTCCTCATCGCGCAGCTTCTCGTACAACCAGTCTTCCTCGACGTCTTCGAGATAGGCTTCAATGCGCGGATGATGGAATTTCTCCCATGGAGCTGACTCTAGAGTCTTTCTCAACACCTGTGACCCAAAGCCAATGAAAAATCCAAACGGATTCGGCCGGGGGATCCGCAAGTAGAGCTTGGCTGTGAAGAGGTTCGCATTGACGAAGCCGCGCCGCTCTTGGTCGCGCGTCGTTTCGTTGAAGGAGTGATCGGCATCTATTGCTTGTTAGAGTCTGTCTGGGGATCCAGCTTCATTGAATCAATAACCCACGGTTGAAAGTAAACTCAGCCAAATGCATCGCAAGCCCGTCTAATTCGTGCATCTCCCCGTCATAATGGGGCAGTTGCTGTAGTGCAACGGTGAAGTCCACGAGTCGGTCGCTTTGTTCTGGAAATCGCTCCACTGCCGCCATGAGGACCGACCAGATGTCACCGTATTCTGGGATGGAGTTCGCTTCAGTGGTCGCGCAGGAAAGGGCCATCTTGGCTACTTCCGCAGGCGACACCGAGGAGTCGGTCAAGAGGAATCGAAAGGCAGTGAGAGTGTCCTCGCGAGGGGGCCATTTCTGTACTGCCTGCTCGGCCAAAAATGATTCATAATGGGGGTTGCTCAGCATGTTGATGACAGTCCAGTATCTAGAGCGTGAGGTCCAGAGCAGTAGACATATAATTTGCGGTGGACTCAGTATATATTCCTCACTTTTGGAGCGAGATTCCAGAGTTCCTTGGTATCTGAGTCTTGCGGTTGACCGAGTGAACTTGTTGCCTAGTCGCTAGTTAGTTAATAACTATCCTTGCAGGGATCTCGCTTATTAAGGGGGCCGATGTTGGTTTTTGCGCCCCAAACCCTGTGCCGTAAGCATCGTGTTGTGAAGCTCTTGTGCCTGACTAGTGTGAAGGCAGCCATGCAAGACGGAGATAGTTATTAGGGGCTTACCGGGGTCAACATGGGTATCCGCGAACAATCACCAGGCATTGTGCCAGAATTAAGCCTGGGCCATATCCATGAAATATGCAAGGATCCTCCATTTTACGCGACGTGGGATGGTTTATGTCTAATCATCACGGGGCGCTCTGCTACTTGCCTCATAGTGCTGATGTTACAGAGGCTTCGACCCAACCTGATTTTATTCTGGTCCCCGTGAGAAACAAGACCGGGGATGGGTTCTTGCCTCAAGTCTTCTAACGGACCTTCTGACGAGGTACCTTTATCCTCTGACGGGTATAAGTAAACGTCACATCTTGACGGTCGTATTTCTATCATCCCGAGAAGCAGTTTTCTCCAAGATCAAATGCAAGCTTATAACAGCCAGGCTCTGTTTCATTGACTCAATTGTTACTACACTCCAACGATGCCTTCCTTCTTCAAAACACTCACTCTCAACGTTCTGCTAGCTGGTGCCCTCGTGGTCCAGGTTGCAAACGCCCACCCTCTCACAGACACCAATGTGCGTAACCTCATCGCCGGCGACGACATTGACAGCGATGTCGACGTGCTTGGTGACTTTGAGAATCGTGGCAAGAAACATCCAAAACTGTCGACTGCCGATTTCCCGAGTAAGGGCTATTCCTGCCCAAAAACCAACAAATACCCGGAGATCACCACCTACACATCGGGGCAATTGACAAAAGCATACGCGAAAGCAGCGAAGTATGCCAATGAAGGTACAGCACTTGGAACAAGTTCGTCACTCCCTCCTCCGCCAACCGTCAACCTCATTCCCACATGTCGCGGTGAATATGCATTCTGACAATACCCACAGAGCGTTACCCTCATCGCTTTGCGAACTATGACGGCCTGCCTTTCCCGTGTGGCTCTAAAACGATGGAGTTTGTTCTTGACAAGAAGGACCCAGGCACAGTATACAACGGCGGTGAGGTGAAGGAGCTTCCCGATCGGCTTATCTTCGAGTACAGCCGTAAAGGCGAAACTGCTAGGGCGCAATTCTGTGGTGTTATCCGCCACGAAGGCGACGGGTTCGTAAACTGCCCCACTGTTTGAGCTTGGACAACGGTTTATTAGAAGGAAACCGGTGGTGGGGTGTAATCATTGCTGTGGATTATTATCGGTTGGGCCTGCTGACGATTCCTTTCGTTGGCTTCAATTGTACACTGTAGACTATCTGCACTATGTTTACTGATTTGGAGTCGGAAGCACAAATATAAATTCTAAACAGGCGGCTCTGGCTCTTGTGAATCTGAAAATCCCTCGATCCCCGAGTGATAGGACCTCTTTCACTAGAAGAGAAGGCACTATAAAGTCCGTACCTATATTTAGATAAACAGAAAAGATCTGAAAGAAAACGCAAGTTAAGCAAACCGAATGACTCATAGTGTCTTTACACGTGCAGACTGTGCAAGATCGTACTGCCAGAAAGCAAAACCTGCAGAATAACATATGTATCGAAATGATCCTTCAAAGTCTGACACCCAACTCCACCTATAAATGAAGCTAGCGGATTCTTATCTATAGCTGCCTTGCTAGAGAGGGACATGGTCGCTCCTCTTGTATCAGAAAGATGAGTCGCAGTCACACGTACGCGCATGCTTCTTTGATTTTCACAGCCTCCTTTAGTCCCTTATGCGTTATAGCAGAGGAAGTTTCGTTCTGAACGGCCTATAAGGTGTTACAGAAAGTACAGAAACCATTTCCCAATCGTGTGATCTCAGATATTTGAACTAAGATCTTCGGGTTGGTAGCTCGAAGTGTAGTATGGTGAATCGTGGCCCTCAATACCAATCTACCCCCTGTTTTATTCCTACTCTGTACATGCGGTTATATAAAACACCAAATCGTATTCTATGCAATGAGACTGCTCCTGATCACAATTTCAATGAAAAAGCCTGATCATCTATCCCCCTTGACAGTGGCATCTGAGGTTTCGCGCGCCGAATTGCATCTCGCCCTGGGCTGATCAAACTTGACGCTTCTGCTTACCACACTTTGTCAAACACTCCTCCACCTTGATGGCCATGGTGGTCGGAATCGCATTCCTCACAGTTTCGATATCCTCACCGGCGATGCTCTGTCCAAACGTGGCAGCAATCACATCATCGCTGAGCGAAAAGGTCTCTGCTGCCACTAGGCCCACAGCGAACTCATCGGACGTGAAGGCTGCGGCGAAATTGGCCGGCTCACAGTCCGGGTTGACTTGCGTGTGAAACGAACCGGCCGGATAGATGGTCACCACCCCGGGGCTGAGCTCCACGCGGATAACTCGCTGCTTGCCTTCAGAATCCAGGACGCCCGCCTCGGGTACCATCTCCGACAGCACACGTCCTGATGTAAGGGCAAAGAGCTCCGTAGCACGGGGGTGCAGGTGGAGGAAGCTCATGCTGCACGCTATGGAGGTAAATTAGTGCAAATCCAGAACTACAACTATTCCGGCTGGAAATACCTGGCAATTCTCCGATACTGAAGGAGGCACCAGTTCCAACAAGGGCCGGAAAATTCTGGCTGGTGGCAACCGGAACCTCGCTGGCAGTGAAGTTGAAGACAAAGTCTTCATCTTTTGGAAGGAGTTGGTAACGTTCAATGGCACTAAACAATTAGGTCATTTGTTTTGCATTAAGGAGCCCATGTCTAGCAACTAACGTGTCTGCAAGTCGCAGTTGAGCTTTCAAGCTAAGTTCAGATGTTGAGCGCTTGCTGATCGGTTGAGGAGCTGCCCATGCCGGAAGGGCAAGGGTGAGCATTACCGCGACTATGGAAGGCAGGGCGGACGCAGAAAGCATCGTGGTTCTTTGAGCTGAATAGAGGAGGTTGGGTAGTGTTGGGAAGTAGTAGGAAGTACCAAAGGTGTTGCTTTACCAGGGTGTTTGAGTGCTGATCGATGAAGACAGGAAGGCAATTGAGGCTTTATATATCTTTCGAGCTACAGCCTATGGATCTTTTTTCGTTGGTACATCGTCTCCAATCTCAATAACCAACATGTATTCCAAATAGCATTCTTCAGGCCGACTCATCTCCAGCGCATAAAGTGTGCCAAGCAGGAGTTCTATAAGTGAGAATTCCATATACGCACAGCACAGCCATCATGCGTCGACTCCGATCTGCATTGGTTGTTTGGATTGGGCGCAGTGGCTCGGGCGTATTAGTAATACGACACGGCTTCCCCAGCAAATCGATCCACTCCCACAATCTCGTGTCGGATCTCTAGTATCACTCAGCGCAGGGTATCTCCTCCTAGAAAATATGGATTTGGACAATGTGGTGGCACCTGGTAGCTTCACTGCCTACCTCACTCGGCGTACACACGGCGGGACATGACGTGAGCTTCAATCTTTCTCAAGATAATGAAATCCTGGTCCTCATGGGCTCAAAGATATATTGCCAACCATGAGAAAGGGATTACAATTTCACGACTTGCCAAGCAGTTTCGCAGGTGTTCAAAGAGCTGACAATATCTCCTAGGAGCAAACAACAAGATCAACATGGTTGGATATCGCCACCACTTTGTGATCCTCATATTTGTGGCTCCCTGTCACAGCCCCCGTCTGGAATTTCACTGGTATAACTCTTGTATCTCGCCAATTCACTCTATCGTTCATAATTACGTAAAGGCCGTCTTGCATGGGTGGTGATGGATGGCCTGATAGTCTAAAATGAAACTGCGATCCAACGATCTATGACTGCTGGACATTGGGGGTGAGCTCCCGCTTAACCAAGTACATGCTCTCCGGCCACCACGTTTCTCGACTATCGTCCAGCAGCTTCTGAGTCTTCATCAATGACATAACCTGACCTAGCTCCCACTGTCCAATATCACCAATCCACCATACACCGTCCAGTAACATGACAAGGACGAGCCAATGGGCAAAGATATCCATGGCTAGTAAATCCGTCGGGTTGAGCGACGGTGCCTCAGCTCTGGGAGAATCCTGCGTCATCCAACTCTCTGCTCTCGCCTGCATGGAGGGGGAGTCGAGCACCGACCGGACAAGGGTCAGATATTCAGCTGGAGCTTCGTTCAAAAACGACATGATGATCCGTCGAAGGACCCGTGGCGACTCCATTGATGTCACACTGATCATATATCTTGCCACCCATGGTGAGACTCTAGAATATCGATCAGATGGTAGAGCCTGATTCCTGGGGCTCTTGGCGCTGTCGTGGCCTTCTCTTGTCGACAGAGCTAAGGATGCACATTTCTCAAGCACACGCACAGTCTCCAAGGACGCGTGAAGCTGTACATTGTTGCAAGCAGAAGGCTCTGCCCTCTCTAATAACGCTGCGGTAGATTCAGCTCTCCGACGTAGGTTCTCCAAAGCTCGAGCATATGTAGATGCGACCAGAGGGAGAAATAGACGTTTCGTATTCTCAGATGGACCATCCTGTGGTGATGAAACGTGCGTACTACGGAAGACTGGGGTCGGTACATTCGGTCCTGTATCTATAACTGGGCAGGGGATGGAACTCTGAACGTTATCCGGAGCATTGACGGTGTCGCTGAGAACTGCAGTCGACGCTGTATGAGCTGCGCGTGTGAACGAGATCCATTGTGAGTGTTGTGGAAGTAACGCATCTGGCAGCCGCTGTCGACATTGTTTCGCAGTGGCTGCAAGATGTACTCGAATGGAGTGACTGGCGGACGCGTACAACACCATCAATGCCGCGTTGGCGAGGACATAGTCGTACGACTGTGAGTTATGCATGGCCGTTTGTATGTGGCGAAGGGAGGCTCTATGGTGGCGCTCCGCAAGCGCAAGTAGCCGTTGGATCTGCATTAGGCTCTGGTGGTCGAGAAGCGTCTGGGCTCGTTTCGCTATATCGTGGCACCTGCATGCCGCTGCCAAGGCTAGCAGGGATGACATGACGACCTTGCAATTTAAAGCCAGATTTGGTACACCTATGGAAAGAGCATACACATCGAGATCGTCAACAGGTATAGATTGGCTAGTGTGCGTGATATAGTGGGCTAGGAGATCAAGCTCTGCCGCGTCGAGAGTGCCAGGGAAGTTTGAATTCAACACCGGGCTTTCTTCATTTGTACCAAGACTTGAGGAGGCACTAGGTTGTCCGCAAGGCGGAGGACTGGATACAGAAAGGCGATCACTCGAAGTTGCAGACGGCGACCCGGAGCCTGGGATTACAACGGTAGGGCTTTTGGGTGGAACTGGCAAGTGGGTCGGTTCCTGCTGCTCCGACAAATTACCACCATCACTCGGACAGTTTCGATATCGACATCTATACATGCGCTTGGTACATCTGGAGCAACTCGGCCTCAACTCATCGCACTGGGCGATACAATCAGAACAATGTAGAGAGCCATCGTGTAAAAGCCACAGCCTACCTTCTTCCGCTGCTGCTTACATCTGGTGCAACCATTCCTGGATTTCTCATGTGTTCTCCGGAGTCTGAATCCAGTTACCTGCAATCCCGGCAGTGTCGTATCGCTGGGCATCTTGCCAACGACACCAGGGGTGACCGATTAACAGTTGCTGGCGGAAACAAGGTTACGGACGGTCGCGGGAAGATTGGAGCGTATTAGCTAAAATGTCCCCAGGCTCGTCTGCTACGATTCTGAGGAGAAACCGTTCCGGGGATCGACCCAGGGTAGATTTAAAGGCACATTCGAGACTCTTCTCTGAGGCTGAGATTGCTTCAGCCCCACGGCGAATACGCTCCAAAATCAGCACTAAACTGGGTCAAGATTGTATTTGACCGGCTCTGCTGCAGCTCAGCCTCATCGTAGGGGGAAGAAAGCTCGGCTTAGGTGGAGCCTTCTTGGCACTTTATTTCCACGATATTTGGATCAATTTGGCTGTACTCCACTTTGTACGTCTCTGGCCTATGACTATAGGCAGCGTCCTAGGTTATAGTGACTTCACTGCCGTTTGAATCTTGGAAAATTCTCAAGTCTACCTAGGAGACTCTTTTCCCCTACGCTGTCGGGCGCAGATTGGATTCGTCCTAGAGCTATTATAGAAGTTCAGGCAGGTGGAAATAAAGTGCCAAGCAATTTCTACCCAAGCCAAGTGTTGTTCTCGCTGGACACGTCGAACGCGTGGAGTGTCGCCGAGTCTCTTCCACACACTCATCGTCAGGTATTTCCTCGTATTCTCCTATGATAGATCAGCTAGTTACTCTCGGTAAGCTACACTAACCACACACTGTGTCGTGATCGAGTAGCCTTCTATGATAGAGTAGAAACATTGCAAATGAGCCGGAGGTTTGAGCAAAGCTCGACAAGATGACTATTCACAGTCACTTACTTTCTCGACTTGTCGGGATAGCTGTTGCCGGGCTGGGGCATGGGACATTCACTGGGAGTGTTCGAAGATAACACGAAATATTAAACCGGTGGGAAGTGGAGAGAGTGATTGTCGCCCAAATTTCGCGAGACAAACGCCAGGAGCCACTTGAGTGCACGCTGCAGCATCATCAACTTATCAAAAGCTCGGTCAATATCTATGATATGTAGCATATCGTTCAATTACAACATTACCAGGGTGAGAGATTCACCATCATTAGGCACCCTCGAGCCCTGTGAATGGCTTGCTCGATAATCTAGCTCCATCCCATCCTGAAGTCTCATTGCCAGCTTATCCTCTCTTCTTTGCTACTATGACGCACCGATGTACTCTGGACGACTAGAGCCAATGGTGTCCTCGCCCACAAGGCTCAACTGCGTACATATCGCACCACTTTCAGTGCAGAACTTGGAAGAGCTGTCCTCGCAATACGTTCATCGCTACTTCTTAGACGGAACTAACTAGCGGTAGACAGTGACACATACGCGATCCTCACACATTGTCTATTCGTTCACCGCTAGTAGCCCTCTCACCTTACCATTGAATATCGAATCCACCCACGATGTCGCCCTGAAATCCCTTCAGGGCGCTAGGAGAGGTCCTGAATAAGATCCAGGCCGTTAGGGATCCCCACAAAGGGGGCATGCATCTGGTCGAGTTGGAGTCGGCAATAGAAATGAATTCCCAAGAAAGCCCATACCGATCAGCTTCCGCATGCTGGGGCCGCCCCGTAAGCTCTTCTGACTCGGATGAGTGAGACATAAATCGATCATCCTGGTAATAACTTGGATAACCTATAATGTTGCTTAGAAGCGATCATCCCAAGGGGTTTGCGTTTGACGTGCTATTCCCAGGAAGACAATGCTGGAAGTTAAAGGTAACCTGGAGTTGAAGAACGGAAATTATGATTTTGTCGCCACGATGTACAAGGGCAGATACATGTATACAGCAGAATTTATAACGTAAATGTCCTCCATCTTGGCTCGACCTTTAGTAACCATGGCTCACAGCTTCAATGTCTCATATCCGAAGAAGATACCGGCTGCCATTGTGGTGAAGGCAGGGTAAGTGATCCTTTGGAAAAGTCTCCGCGAAAGGCTCCGAATGAGTAACTTGGTGGCGTTTGGAGGTTTAACGATATAAATACGAGCACCATAACACCTTCGTGGTCGAGAGAACACCTTGCTCTGGCTATCTTCTCAGGCTTCACAAATAACCTGCAGTCCCATCCCAACACTCCCCGTTTTCTAATACTGCCTGTTGAGTTCATATTCCACTTGCACAATGCAGATTAATGACATCAAGTCGTCTGACTGGGACTCCACTGCGTCCGAATATCTGAAAGCCCCCCTTGAAGGGCCACTGCTGATTCCCTGTAAGCGCATGATTGAAGCCTTGCATGATGCTGTCAGCTTTTCCTCGGCCACAACAGTCTTAGACATTGGCAGTGGTCCCGGCACGGCGATCAGTTTGCTGATCGATGACTATGGCAATAACATTCCACCAGAATCTCGATTAGTCGCGACGGACTACTCCGCAGGGATGGTCGCGGCGTCCAGAGCCAGGAAATACTCGAAGATCGCAGCCAGAGCGGACCCTGCAAATTGTTGGGGCCGACTGGAGACGCTTGTAGTGGATGCACAGGATTTGTCTGAATTTCCCTCAAACAGCGTCTCCCATATCATGGGGAGTCTTGTCTACTTCATGCTCCCAGACCCAATGAAGGGACTGAGAGAGGCTCATCGAGTGCTGCAATCCGGATGCGCCTTTGCATGTACAAGCTGGGCAAAAGTCGAGTGGATGGAACTCCTGCTTCAGGCAGCCCACAGCGTGCGACGCGTCGGGGATGATAAAAACGTAAGATTTCTAGCGTTCTTCCTGCTTGTTGCATCGATTATCTAACACTTGGGCGAGAAGTCAATCGAAACAAGAGAGCACAATATGATTCCCACTCAGTGGACAGATACTGCTGGGGTGAAGAGAGAGATGGAATCTGCTGGTTTCCGGGACGTGCATACTGAGTACGTTGAATTCAACTGGGTGGTTGAAGACCGTGGAAAGTTCGCCGACAAGATGTCGACAAGTTCCAATCCCGGGTCCCAAATGATCCTAGGTGACTTTACCGCCGAGGAAAAACAACAAGTTCGCGAGGAATACGTGAGAATTCTGGCGGAGAATGGAGATGTATGCAAAGGCGTCGCGGTCCTAGGTGTTGGTAGGAAATAGTTTGATGGGCGCGTTTTTGTATGGACTCCCCTAGCTGCTTGAACTTATCTGCTTGGAACATGATTTGAGAAATGCCATGTTGTATTGGGCGGAATGCAAGAGAGGTATCACTCGCGCTGGACAGGTTCGCATTGTAAATAGTCTTTCAGGCAGATGCGACCCCCCTTAGAAGAAAACACACGATGCCATCCCTTCCGCAGTCCTTGCTTTGTGAGGTGCACTCCACGTAGGAAGAGGGAGAGTTCGATCTCAGCAAAGGCCTCTCGCATATCTTTCCAATTTGACAGCGGAACAGCGACCGATCCGTTTCTAAAGGCGCTTCATTCCTCTCGACACCCAATCTCTTCCTTCTTTCTATTCTCCCAACGGTCTTTTTTCCGCTCGTAGGCGTTACATAATGGCGATACCAGAACCCAAGAGCCATGATTCTGTCACCGGGAGGGGTGGAATGTCCCTTAAGGATCAGGATAATCGTCGTCTCGAACAAATGGGAAAGATGCCGGTTGTCAGGGTAAGAAGGATCGTTGGGCTCGCGAAAGCCACGGGTCCAGATGGCTTATACTGCATTGTTCCAGCGAAACTTCAGTATTCTGTCAATCTGTGTTTTTAGCTGTACCCTTCAGGTACGTAGAAAGGCCTGCTTGGGTGAGTCTGAACGGTGTTTCAATCCATTCAAGGCTCCAGCACTGACGGCTTGCCTAGTACATTCATTAGGCCTCTGGAGAAGTTTGTGTACCTATCCCAGACCTTGCTGTTCTGCAAAGGTTTCTAACCAATAAGTGGCGGGTCTGGCGGCACCTTCTATGCCTTCATCTTTGCATGGATCGGGACTGCACCTATTTTTGTGGTTCTGGCGGAACTGACATCGATGTGTGCGTCGCTCGTCTCGATCGGATTGAATGTGCAATATCACTGGGCTGCCATGCTTGCTCCTGTCAAATATCAGAGGTTTATGAGCTATATTACCGGTACCTTCTATGTCATACTTTGATTAATCCTCACTGAGACCGACTGATACTAGGCTGGTGGGCGTTCTTGCGTGGCAGACTGCTCTTGCAGCGTGCGCCTTACTTACCGGAACAATGGTTCAAGGCGCTGCGATCCTGGGAAACAGTCTGTATAACTCTTTACCTTGACAAGATACTTTGATTGTTTGAGCTACCCTAATTTGCTCATTGCTTGTGAACTTAGTGGGTGGAAAACCTCTGCCTCACATGCAGACTGTCCTTTTGGGCGCGCAAATCTTTGGACTTTTCAGCATTATGATCCCATTAGCTTGCACATCGGACCATAAACCCAAAGACGAAGTATTTTCGCAATTCTCAAATGGAGGGGGGTTCAGCACATAGGAATTATCTAGGTTCGTTGGTACAACTAGCCGTCCTTTCGGCTTCGCCGGAGGTGATGCCGCCGTCCATGTAAGTTGCTGGCTTCCTTTACGCTTATCTGATGTTTATTGATTACTTGGGATAGATATCTGAAGAGGTTGCAAATGCATCGCGCGTTATTCCTCATGCTTCAATGCTCAGCGTTCTATTGAATGGTTATCTTGGGTTCGGTATCCTAATTGCCGTACTCTTTTGTGTTGGCAACCATAAGGATGCGTTAAACTGCCCTACTGGGTACCCTTTTATGGAGATATTTCAAACGGCGACTGGCTTAGTGTATGACTCACTATTCATGTGCTGTGTTCTTTTGATCATCTACAGCTGCTCGCTTATGGGTCTGCTGGCCGCGGCTTCTCATCAACTCTGGTCATTCTCCCGAGACAGAGGAGTCCGTGGTTGGCACTGGTGGAGCCAGGTAAGAAGAGTCATTTTATTGGACTACTGCATTGGCTGATGATCACGTCTCCAAGATTATTTTGTCTCAGGGGTTGTCAGTGCACTCTATCGTACTTACAGTCATCGTCGGCACGATGCTAGCGCTCATTAACATTGGTTCTTCCGCTGCTCTAGATGACATCGTGCCCAATGCTCTATCTGGCCTATATCCTTCTTATCTCATGGTTTTTATCTTTCTGCTCTATCGCCGTATGGATGGTTCTGTCTCCAGATACATTGACAGCAATGACGACGTGGTCAATGTGCCTGGTGCGAAGCTTGTCTGGGGACCATTCTATTGCTGCGGAGTCTGGGGTATCTCAATCAACAAGTTTGCCATTCTGTACATTATCTTTGTCGTCTTTTTCATTTTTTAGCCCACTGAGATGCGCCCAATCGTCGAGGGTATGAACTGGAGCGTGCTCGGTATCGGAGGGAGCAGCTGTCTTCCTGCTGTAAACTTCTTTGCACGTGCCAGGCACATCTATACGGGGCCTATCAGGAGCTGTAAACATAAAAGGCATGCATGAGTGCTACTGAACTAGCATGGGTGTTTCTGTGGAGATATGTAGGCACCTTCCAGGGATTATGCACTGAATGATACGTAAGTCACACAATAGCCACCCGGAATATTTGCTTGGGGAGATATGTCTCTTGTATGGGACAGCCGTGATGTTCAGGATGTGTCGACCGTTTAAAACTGAAGCTAGAGGCCATGGGTATCCAATTGTGGAGCTAAGATATAATGACTGCTGTTACTTAAAACTTGCCTGAGTACGCTGGTGACTATACATCTGCCCTCGACGATGCTCGCTACATAATTCTTATCTTCCTTCGTCATTTTCAGCTTCCTCTTAGCTCCCGTCAATGCTTCTGCAACATATAAAATCAACCGCCCCTTCCTATAGTGACCAGTTCTGAGTAAGATTGAAGAGTTGCAGACTGTCTAATCCTCTCGTAGCGGAAGAAATAAAAAAGGTGGATAGTTTCAGGTCGACGATGGTCAAGCAAACCCGAGACACATATTCTATCTGGGGCAAAGGGTTGGGAAATGTATTCTTGAAGCTACGAAATTAGCAAAGGGTCTCTGGTGGCGTTGAAAAGAAGTAGATAGTAAATGAGGGCTAACATACATGCTTCAGGTGGATACAATTAATGTCATCAACCATATTGTATATCACACCAGAGGATTCTCATCTTCGTTTTTCACTTCTTGACGAACCAGGCGTTCGTGTGCTGGAGACCGTATAGTAACCCTGACTGGAAACGGTTCGCCTGAGCCAAAGTGACCTAGTTTTTCGTCGTCAATCTCACCGGCGGGAGAATAATCGAAGCAGTACAGCAATCGTGACAAGGCCACGAATAATTCCTTCTGAGCCAGTTTGTAGCCCACGCATGACCTCCGTCCCGCGCTGAATGCAAACTGCCAGAGACCCTGCTCAATGCCACCTCCAGGCGCGTTGGTTTCCAACCAGCGCTCCGGCCAGAACTCGGCCGGTCGCTCATAGCCATTGCTACAAACGGGTATAGAATTGAGGAGAAATTCGGTACCTGCAGGGAATCTATATCCTTCAAACACCAGATCCTCGGTGAGAACACGCTGCGGGACAAGAGGCACGATGGGTCTCCATCTTAAAACCTCCTTGACCACAGCGCACATGTAAGGGAGTCTATGCAGATCGTCCAGACTTGGCAGGCGATGGGCATCAAAACCGCAGACACGGTCGAGCTCGTCGCGCGCCTGTTGCATGACAGCTGGATATGCAAGACAGGCCATGGTCCACGTATTCATTGCCATTCGAGGATTGTCTGCTCCGGCGACAATGGCCAACATTGTAAGATACATTGCTTCTTCTTCAGTGCCAGAGTACGTGTTGAGAACAGCGTCACGGACAAATGATGGCTTAGCACTGGGATCAGCTAACGGTTTCATCCCGGCCCACCAGTGTTTGAAGACGTTGTAATGGAATGTGCCCATCTCTTCCCAATGTGGGCGCCAGAATTGGAGCGTTTCGGGTAGACAGCTTAGCTGGGGGAAGAATTCAATCAGGCTATTGTTGATGGAAGTTAAAAACGTTGAAGTAACTTGTCGCAAATCCTCCAGCTCGGCTGTAGTCCGTTGTAAGGACGTATTGGTCACAATCTTGTACATGATAGAGACCGCATAGCGATAGTGGTGGGTGTGCCATGCTCTGGGCTCATCCACGTAGGCTTGAAGCAGCCCCAGACTCGCAACCTCAGCCAGATGTCCGTGGTTCCTCGAGTCTGAGCCCATAATTAACTGGTGAAGCAGACGACGCCCCTCCTTCCAGTCATCGGTCTTTTGCAGAAAAAGTCTCTTGTCACGGCTGACAAGCCCTCCAGCGATTGGAAAGTACGGTCTTTCATGTGTAATGCTAGCTCTTTTAGAGAGGATCTCATGGGCCACCCGGCTGTTATTGAGAAGAACCCATGTTTTTGTCCCCATACTCAATGTCGTCATTTCGCCATACCGCGCTTGTTCTACGAGCTGTAATATCAAGTCAATACACGAGTGGGTGAAAACACATTATCCTAGCTTACCCATGGCACCATCGTCCCACCATTACGTGCCTGAAGCCATTGTAGTAGGTTGCCAACTACAGGGTGGCCACTAGGACCCGGAGGCATAACATATTTTCTCCTGAATAATAGCCTTTTTTATGAGGAGGAGAGAGTAGCATATACGGTGCCGCGAAGTAAAGACATAATAGGATCAATGCAGTGATTGACAGATAATACGGGGTCATGATAATGCGAAGTGTCTCGGTTGCTCCTTCTTACGAAAGAGACACAGGAATGAAAAGGATAGAGGGCGATAGAGAGAGGTGTTAAAATGCAGAGGGCGAGAACTCCTCTTACAGGCAGCCTGGTCTAGAATCAAGATACTCCGCCGCCCCCCCCTTAGGGCCAAGGCAATAACTTCCCACAAAAGAGAAATAAATTAAAAGACTTCGTTCTTTCTCGCTGTACTAGCCGTGATTGAGTTCACCTCACCGTATAGATCTCTTTTAGGCTTTTTGCTAAGACTCAACTAATAAACCAATGCTGGTTTCGCTACCTCCCAACAGAGTGGCACTCGCTTAACCACGCCAGCCACGAAATTGCACTGGGATTATACAGGTAAGGATCGTCGGTCGATCTTGAACCTAATGATGCGTCTCTAGTTTTCCGATTAAGTTCCTGCTGATGTGCAACTCCACTGTTAGACCTGCACTTACCTTCCGGTTCACAATTTGTGCCTGGACATGGCCCGTCCACCGTGATTTTTAGCGAATGCGATCATTCTCGGGCCCGACACGGTGTATGGAGTGGGAACACTTCATGGAGCCTTCAATTCAAATACACTAGTGCTGCGCATGCGGCTAGTGACTTTGTCGACTATGACCAGCATATATATTGACTCTCGGCTATCGACTTTGAAGTGTTCCTCATAGTCTATGAATTTCTTCTGTTTCTCTATCCCAAGAAGATATCATGGCAGCCACTTCCAAAACCAGCGACCAGCCTGCCGTAATGCAAGACAAGCATATCAACTTCTTCCCAAATCTTCCACCCTACTCGGATCCTAAGACGGGCCTATTGTCCAAGCTCCCGTCTTCATGGATCCCATACGCCCAGCTCATGCGTATTGATCGCCCTGGTGGCCTCTATGCGTTCTATTTCCCCTATCTGATTGGGATCATGTACGCCGCCTGCATTTTGCCAACGACTGTCGAACCTCTTACCCTCCTGATGATGGCCGCGGTGCTCCTACCTCTCAATATCCTCCTACGTGGTGCCGCCTGCACCTGGAATGATACCCTCGACCAGGAATTTGACCGACGTGTCGAGCGCTGTCGCCACCGGCCTATTGCGCGAGGCGCCGTCTCCACCTGGCAGGCTCACATTTTCACATGTGCACAGCTGGCGGCTGGATATCCGATCTTGAGGTTCTTTCCCGTTGCTTGCACGTGGCATATGTTGATTATGGTCGTCCTGTTCTTCATCTATGCATACATGAAACGTGTCACGTACTACCCCCAAGTCGTTCTCGGGTTTCCCTTCGCCTGGGCCATCTTGTTCTGCGTCGCTGCGATGGACCTGCCGGTCTTAGGTGTGCATACTGCGTCAACTCTCGCACTCTATGCGGCAAACGTCTTATGGACGATCACCTATGACACCATCTACGCACATCAGGATATTGCCGACGATGAAAAGGCGGGTGTCAAAGGTATGGCGGTTCGTTTCAGGGATAGCACGAAGCTTCTGGCCAGTATCCTGGCCACCATGCAGGTCGCGCTGCTCGCGCTGTCTGGGCTTCGGGCCGGATTTGGGCCCACGTACTTTGTCGGGACTGTGGGTGGTGTTGCGGCCGCTATGGGCTACTACATATACGACGTGGATTTGAAGAATCCTCAGAGCTGTGGAACTTGGTTTGGGGCGCAATTTTGGATTGTGGGTGCTGGATTCATGGCGGGGCTGACGGGCGAGTATATGCTCAGCGTTGCGCCATACAGTTAGTTCTTCAGACTAGAACGCGGCTCGCTTGGTAGCGAAGGTTTGCGATACATTGAACTAGGTTTAGGAAATCTAATATGGCCTTAGCTTGCATTTACCCACGCTGTATCTTACTAGTTTCAATCTAGGTGGGGATTAGGATGTCGAGACGCGGGTGGCCAGTGGGCCCGAAGGTTTTGGATGTACGGAGTAAGCGCTCGAAATGATACGTCTCGCCATAGCAGACGGAGGCGAGCCAAGGACACTGCGAGAGAAAGCGGTTCGGAAATTAGGAAGCCCCATTTTCATAAATACAAGCGTATGGGTAACGCCTGGGCTAAATACTTACAACTTACCTCTCTGCCCTCAGGATGAAATACTTTCTTATCGCCGTGGTAGGGTTATTCTTGGGATGGCTCTCCCTCGTGGATAGGGAGCCCCCGTCGTGTCGTTGTCGGCCATGGGAATCCTGCTGGCCCTCCGAAGAGACATGGAGGGAGTTCAACGCATCGATTGCCGGTAACCTCATCCGCCTCCGGCCCATAGGCGACGTGTGCCACAAACCTGCATCCAACCAGAGCGCCTGCAGTGAGCTACGACATGTCTCGCGGAACAGTGGATGGAGGGCGGCACAGCCAGGTAAACTCAATCACGTACTGCGCATTTAACACCACTGATATGGACTGGCTTGCTTAGGTGCCTTGCAGAACTGGATTTGGGAGAGCGGCTCTAATCTCAATGAGACCTGCCATCTAACAGGACCTCCCGAGACCCCTTGTCACCAGGGTCTAATCCCTTTCTATTCAGCTGTCATTGACTCGGTTGAACAAATCCAAAGGACAGTCGTGTTTGCCAAAAAGCACAACCTCCGTCTGACTATTCGCAACACCGGCCACGACGGTGCGGGGCAGTCCAGTGGCCCCGACTCGTTGCAGATCCATACTCACGGTCTACAAGACGTTCAATATCATGAAGACTTTCAACCAAATGGATCTACGGCACACCTAGGCCCTGCTGTAACTGTCGGGGCCGGGATGCAGCTCGGGGACCTCAACAGACGAGGATCGCAAGAAGGGTACACGGTGGTGGGAGGCGAATGTCCAACCGTGGGCGCTGCTGGTGGCTTCCTTCAGGGGGGAGGCGTGTCCAGTTTCCTGAGTCACAGTTGGGGACTCGCTGTAGATAATGTTCTGCAATTTGAGGTAGTCACCTCCCAGGTGAGTCGTGATATCTATCTCTCCTTTGACCAGTCAAAGTCTCATACCAATGTGCAATAGGGAGATCGGGTCCTTGCCAATGCACACCAGAACCAAGACTTGTTCTGGGCGTTAAGAGGGGGTGGAGGTGGAGCCTTTGGTGTCGTCACTCGAGCAACCATTCGCACATATCCTGACGTGCCGGTGGTGGTAGCTACGCTCACCATCGCAGTGGACGCCCCCGATGCAACATTCTGGACCAAAGGGGTCACTACGCTCCTCACTGCATTGCAGGAATTCAACCGCGAAAGTGTTGCTGGACAGTTTATGCTCAAGCGTCTGCCCGGGAGCGGAATCGAGGCTAGTATCACGATGTATTTCCTTAACGAAACTCGAACGGAGCGTGTCGAGGACCACCTAAATCTGGTGAAGACCACCCTTGGCAAAGAAGCCATTCCAGCGGCTTCCTCCTCACAATTCCTCCCACGGCTGACCATGGCTTTGCCAATGAACCCTGATATATATCCCGAGAACCATGGGGTGGTGATGGGGTCCGTATTGGTTTCACATCAGATGTTCAATTCGTCCGAGGGGCCTCAACAAATGGCGGAGAAATTCGCAAGTCTACCGATGGGTCCCCGGGATCGACTGTTCACCAGCAACCTTGGAGGCCGCGTCATGACCAACAAGGATACAGCAATGCATCCTGCATGGCGCTCTGCCGCACATCTCATTAATTTTGTCCGAGTGGTTCATCCATCCATAGATGGCAAATTGGCAGCGTTAGAGGGCCTTACACAACACCAAATGCCAATTCTGTACTCTCTGGATCAGAGCTTGAGAGTCTCCTATATCAATGTGGCAGATCCAAATGAGAACGAGTCTGATGTCTTCTGGGGAGGAAACTACAGGAGACTATTGCAGATCAAGCGCAGGTGGGATGCGAATGATCTTTTTCTCACGAAACTTGGGGTGGGTCGCGAGGGTTGGGAGATTGACGGCATGTGTCGCAGAAAGACTAGTCTCGCAGACCGAGCGGTAACTTCTGTTTCTGACCAAGTTCACAAGACCCTGGGGCACATATTCAGAGGGAGTGTGGGCGTTGTATAAGTGTTTAGTTCTGCTGTTGCGAGAGTCTCTTGGAACATCACGCAAAGCCTATTCCTAACAGCTAAGCTAGTATCATCGACCGATAACAAGCCGCAGATGGCTTATCAAGGCCTGAGGGTCTACGATGTATGCAATTCACCGTAACATTACGTTTACATGAAATACAAATGGGTATCATTCGTATAATCTAGGGGGGCCTTTCCCAAAGCCACCTGTAGGTGTGACATAATGCAACAATGGTTCCCACGAGAGGCACCCCCCTCCATTTCTTCTTAGCGTCATTAGTACATACGTATGTGAGATTATAAAGCCAATACTATGTAGAATTGCTAGCCTATCTACATGTCAGCTACCAGGCATCATATAGCATTAACAATAGCACTCTAGAAGTCCGAGAAGCACTCTCCGTCACTGCCTCCAATCCACAAAATTCACAACCTTTCTGCCAGTATTACTCCGTTCAAAGCCATCCAGAGTGGAGACATACGTTAGACTGAATAGTTCCTCATTGAAGTCGTACACTTTGAACAGCTTCCTTATCTGGATCGTCAGCTCCTTGGTGGGGAGGAGACCATTTATCCCAACATGCTCCTCAGGGCTCCGCATGATTCGTACCTCCATCTTGTCATCCGGATTGTCAGGTTCTCCTTTGGACCCAAGCAGAATCTGCCATTGCAGGACCCCCCATTTCGCGGTGCGCAGCTCCTTCTGGACCAAGTTAAAGTGAAAGTACTCCCCCCACCAGGTGAAGCTTATGCGGCGATCTCTTCCGTAGATTCGCACCACACGATAGTGTTGCACATCTTCCTCGGCGGCCGCAAGCCGAGTCCGTACACTCGTAGGCAGGGGATGGATGGAGGCCACGTCGCCGCAAAGGTAGCGGATTAGAGGGTTTCGTAATCGGTATAGATTGGTCACCGCGAGGAGGCCTACTTCTCCATCTGGGAGATTCTCGGTGCATTCCGAGCGATACAGACCTCGTTCGTCTGGCTCCTCTATTGACATGGGGATCACTTCGAGGTGTGTCACTCGAGGGTCGTAAATGTACTCCGCATAGTTTTCGTCCGTGGGTGCCATGAGCGTGGAGGAGGCCACCCCGATTCCCCCCAGTTCGGAGCTCGCCAGCAATGCGCAGATGATAATGTCCCCTAATACGGCCCGCAAAAATGACCGCTGAGCCGGAGTCAGCATATCAGAGGTGTAAAACACTTTAGTGATTCCGAGTAATTGCTGTTGCTCCTTTGGAAGCGAGGAGATAAAGCGCGCGACCTGGACCAACTGTGCCGCATCTCCCGCCAGCACGTTGATTTTATACAGAATCATCGTGTTGATGACATCTTGATATGCCATGTCTGCTCCCGCGCAGAAGACTGCTGCTCCAGCTTTCTCCATGATCTCCGTCACAAATTCGATGACCCTAAACAATGAGGATGTCATCAATACTGTGGATCAATATGACGTGCATCAGCGGTTGAACGAACCTGTATAGATTGCCTGAAACGTGGACGGTTAACACCCAGTCTCCCGGTTCCAGTAGTCCACAATTGCGCGTCAACGTCCCCGTCGCTGCTCGTTGAAGTCGACTCTCCAAGCTATCCATCGCGAACATCATTGGCGCCGCACCAGAGCCGCCACCGGTCACCGTGCAGTAATTCTGTTGACGATAGCCATTGCGAGGATCTTGGTCGACGATGAGTCGGGCGACATGCTTACTCCTAGTTTCCATAGACCATGAATGCATGTTATAATAATATTAAATCCTAACATACATCGCTGGGCTCTTACAGTGTTTCTTTTCTTAACAGGGGTATGGATTTGAGCTCCAGAGAGCTGCCCGCCTCCTCCTTGGACTTCAACAGCACTTGGTTTAGGGTCTCGGCCGTCGGGGGATATTCTTCCTGCGAGTAGAAAGGATGAACTCGGGCGACAGCAAGAATGTCCGTTAGAGGGTAAGGGCCAGACGACATTTTGTTGCGGGGGTTTTTCTTCGGGGGAATATTTTGTATCGATTCTTTAGATTGTGTGTTCATGAGTCGAAGGAGCGGAGTGGTATAAATATCCTGTGATTCGTTCCTCTATCGCGAGTATCCTTCTTCTCAATGCCGGTGGGAAATCAATGATTGGCGGCGGTATTAATACCGTATTGCTACTTCGCAATTAAATCTATATGAACATTTAGACTTCATTAGACTTCGCGATTTACTTCGGCTGACTCCACAATTCAAACTTGCGTAGGTGGGTCAAGGCGCGATGCATCAAAATCTCCCCTTAGCGAAGCCCGAACTCGGCCGAAGGTATGGAAATCATCCCTCGCGTATTCTGCAGAACTTTATACAGTGGGTAATGAGTTTCAAATATCCTGGGTCTGACTGGAGGTCATTATCTGGACCTTCCGATCCAAACGAATATCCACGCTACGGATTCCCGTCAAATCCCTCGTATTCCTCTGCAACAACCAGCAAGGGGACAAAATGCACTATTCTGTCATACTTCTGACTGTGTTGGTTGTGGGCTACGCATTCTCCTTTTTCGTCAAGCGCAATCGGTTGTCACTCCCACCAGGACCTCCAAGACTCCCGCTGGTCGGTAATCTCCACCAGTATGCGAAGGAGGAGCCATGGAAAACATACCAAAAATGGCATGAGACGTACGGGCCAATGATCGGCCTAAAGTATGGCCAAAAGACAGTTATCGTGTTGGGAAACCATCGAGTAACAAGAGATCTACTGGACAAAAGAAGCAGCTGGTATAGCTCTCGTCCACAGATGGTGGTGGCGGATCGCGTCACAAAGGGTCTGCACATTGGACTCCTGCCGTACGGGGAGAAATGGAAGATTCACCGACGCTTGCAGGCAGGGTTTCTCAATGTACAAATGTCTCAACTCTACCGGGACCTTCAGGACATTGAAAGCAAGCAGCTGATCTACGAGATGTTATCAACAAATGATTTCCCGGGCCGCTTCCACCGCTATGCGGCGAGTCTAATCTTTGCCATGGGCTACGGGAAGCGAATGCTGCGGGGTGACGAGCATGAGATTCAGGAAGCCGACGCCCTGATCAAGAACATTACCGAAGTGACGATGCCAGGGAGTTGGTTGGTAGATGCCTTTCCAATCCTTAAATGTCTTCCCCGCTGTCTTGCCAAATGGAAGCAGAGAGGCGATGAGTTCCATGAGCGAGAGACATCCCTTTTCACCCGGAACATGGGCAGGGCGCTGGAGGAAAAGGCTTGGAATTGGGTCAAGAAGGTTATGGAGTCTAAAGACTCTCAGAAGGTGTCGGCCGAAGAACTATCTTACCTCGTTGGTATCATCTATCAAACCGGAGGTGACACAACAGCAGCCGCTCTGGAAGTCTTCGTGATGGCGAGTGTTCTTCATCCACAAGTCGTGAGCCACGCACAACAGGAACTGGATGATGTAGTAGAGAAGAACAGGTTACCATCGTTTTCTGATATTCCAAACCTGCCTTACATCAACGCATTTGTCAAGGAAGTACTCCGATGGCGACCCATTGCACCTCTTGGATTGCCACACGCTGTGACCCAAGACGATGAATACATGGGTTACCTGATCCCGAAAGGAGCAACAGTGATCCCAAATATCTGGTCGCTAGGGCACGACGAGGAAGTGTTTGAGCGTCCAGCAGAATTTCGCCCGGAGAGATGGATCGAAAACCCTAACTTGCCGGTTGATGCATTTGGCTTCGGAAGGAGAATATGTCCGGGACGGCACATTGCGTTAAACTCCTTGAGCATCATTGTCGCCAGACTACTCTGGGCTTACGATATTGGACATGATAAGGATAGTCCGGAATGCAGGGCCGATGCCTCAACATTGCGTCACTTTGGTCTCTTAGCACAGCCAAGGCATTTCAAAGCATCATTCCAAGTTCGCGGACAAGAAAGGCTATCCGTAATACAGCGTGAATGGAAAGAGTCAGTCAAAGACACAGATGAGATTCTGGATGGCATCAAAGCAAAGCTGGTAACAGAGTCCTACTAAACTGTTGTATTGGACGAACGAAGATGGAAGAGGCAAATAGACTTTGGTTCTGTTGGATCAAGTAATGTGCAATGGCCGACTCGGAGTATTGGGCCCTTGGCCAATAGTGTGGGATGCCAATTTATCCTTTGATATGATTTTATTCTGGGTTTCTGCATATTCTGGGAGGAAAGGACGAATGGTGCCCAGTGCACTACACTGGATAGATACAATTATTGTTTTCTGCTTCCAAAAGATTGTCTACTCTATTTATTGGTTTTTTGTAGAGCTTGCCGTCCCTATCCCGATGTGCCTTTCATTGATTGATTTATAAACAATTCTATCAGTTCAACCAACCCCAATTGCCAGTAAAGCTCTCTGTTTAACAGTAGAACTATGCATTAAGGTGTTTCAGGTAAAGAAGAAGCTTAAGTATCTCGGGGATATGCCTTATCTCGGTGACGCTTCATTGTATTCATCAATATCTGCAAGTGGCATTGCCCTAATAGACTTTCCTGCGCAGAACGTTCCAAATCAGGGGAGCATAGGAGAGTAGGATCCGCTTGCAAATTGTCATCGATGTGAGGGAGTAGCTTGTTATGGCCTATGGCTCCATCATTACTAAAAGGGCAGTATAGTTGAGAACCGATTGAGCGCTAAGGGCGGTAAACTATACCCAATTCATGAAATTTTCATAAAAGCTTGAATGTTGGACGTTCGTGAATAACATCCATCCCAGTAAACATCAAGGCAACATTTCAATGCGCAAACTGGAGCCCGTCCTTCTGACCACCCTGTCAGACATTGCGCACATCATCATACATGGATCATGCAACAGCAACGTGGGATATTTGCTTGCGGAGATATGTCTCCTGTATGGGACAGCCGTGGTGTTCAGCCACTTCCCACTCGCCAATACCGCGATCCTTTGGCGCGATCTTTACACCTCTACCGCCGCCACCAATAATCAGATTTCCTGGTCGATACTCCGGGTTGACCTTCAGACGGTTGATGGCCGACACGTGTATCTTTGCATCATGGGGAATATCACGCACTTCGCCGCGAGGAAGAGGCCAGCGAATGGGTTTCCAGGAGCCATCCTCTTGTAAGTCCATTCGACGGAAGGGCATATACTCCATGGCTTTCCAGGATAGGACCGACGTCCATGGAAGCCCTTTACGGAACTCAAGGCAGTCATGGATCTTTCCGTCCGTACTTGATCTGCGAAGGACATGTTCAAAGTGGGAAAGATCCGCCTTTTCATCGGTGTTGTCCGGTGGAATCACTACTGGGTCTGGCTTGCTCTTGTGGTTCTCTGCTGAAGCCCTGTCCTGCTCTCGGCCCTGGGCTTTACAACCTGGATCATGCCAGCAATTGAAGTCCTTCCTCTTTTTGACACTGAATTGCACGCCCGCCTCCTGGGCCTTTTCTACCATCCAGACCAGGGGAGCGTGACTTAAAGCATACGTTTCGCCATCCTCCAATTCCCACCCGCCTCCAATATCCGCGTGGCACCCGGGAAACCACACCTCTTCAATATCCTGTTCTTCATCCTCCTCGGCCTCCATTGACAGGGACAAACAACTAGCCGTGGCGCTCGGTAGAGAGCGCGCTGAGCGGTCATCTCGGAGACGGCGAGCTGGGGGTCGATACACTGTATGTGTCTTGGTCTGCGCCTGGGGTCCACGGTTTGCAGCCTTTTCGGAATTCTGAGAGCCACTAGTTGCAGTGGCTCCATTGTGCTGTTCTCCCTCCTCGTCATGGCGGCGTCGAGTAGGATCGTGTGGGAGATGTACGTGGTGCCGTGCGAGGTGATCGCGCACTCGTTGTCGTCGCGACATCGGGCCCGTGGGAGTGGACGGTCTCACTTCGCCGATCAAATCCTGTCGGAACTTCGCCCGGCGCTCATCGATACTGACGGCATGTCGAATGACCTTGGCTCTGGTGCGAGCAGTATAAGGGAATTTGCTGCGCTGCATCCACGCATTCTCAAATCGGGGGACGCTGTTGACGGTGTCAAAGAGTCCTAAGAAGCGAATCTGAGACACAGGTCGGCTAAAGGTTTCTCGAAACGCTTCCATATATCTGGATAACTGTTCCTTCTCTTCCCTGTTGCCTCGGCGTTGTTGCCATTTGGCAAAGGTCTTCCAAGCAAACCGGAGGAGTTCTTCATTTCCTGCCTCGAGAAGACCGATTTCATCCAACATTTCTGCTAGAAAACGCGCGACATATGCCCCACGACTAAAGCCGAAAAAGTAGATGTCGTCTCCCGGCGTGTAGTACCGCATGAGGAATTTGTAGCCTCCCATGACATGTTCGGCTAGGGTGGAGCCTATGGCGGCGTCCTTTGCTTTGAGATAGGCAGATCGGATTTTGTGGATGCGACCGCTACTCGACAGTGAGGTCGAAGTCACATAGGTGCCGATTCCAGGTTGATAATAGTGGAATTGATCTCCGCTACTGCGATCAAGCATCTGACCCCAGTCAAGACAGTCCAAATCTCGGGCGCATAAGACTTACTCTGAAAATCTTCAGCACATTGCTGTCAGATTCATTACCAGAGAATTTGTTGCCCGTGCCGTCAAAGCACAGCACAAATTGCCTTGGTGCTCTATCGCCCTGCATGATCTTCACGATTGATGTGACGAACTACCGGGCTACGGTGCAAAGTGCGGAGTATATCTTTCGGACTACGACTGAATATTAGCTACAGACTGTCCACTAGGTTTTTTAGCTTCCACACCAGCCTCGGGCACATCGACGCTTTCGGCAAGTCTGGAACTGTGGATTGCTCAATGCCGTCAACACTCCATCCTCCTTTTGGTCAACGACACAGTTGCGGAAATGGTCCTAGAACCTCTGAATCGTGATGCACAATAGTGTTGTGCAATTGGAGGCCCCGAGATCTACGGAACTTCAGTATAATGTCATACTTCTGCACGTTGCCCATGTCGTGATGTCATTGGTGTTGAAACTAAACTATATCGCATGAGAACACCGGCATGCCGTACTGCTGAATGGCAGTTGGAGTCAGGCTCCCCACCCCGTGTCCGGATGCGGCATGAAGTGTCATATAGCTTAATCTTCCCAGGTTACGGTCATTGGTGATCAGCCCTTAGCTCAGAACCAGTGTGTGGCTTCCAGGCTAAAGTGATGTCATTGACCAGCATATCCGGGCATATCGGAGGTTAGTAATCTTGTTCAGACTTCAAGTCTTCTTCCCCCATCTATCTCAAGCCTTAACACACGCGATCTCAAGCCTAGACGGTCTCCCAGGACTGCTGTCACACGCGACCTACTACAGTAGACTGTGTTCAGTGCCTGCGCAGCTAAACCCCGTGCTATTCGTCGTCTACTCGAGCAAGTGGGCTATATCTACTTTTGGACATTATTCGATCGATCGATTCAGTACCACTAGGTTCATCAAGAGCAGATAAAGACCTCTCAGATGCTCGATGTGGTTTTCCATATGGTCACCCGCAGTCGCCACATCTCAAGAACTGAACGTGAAGCCAACGTTTAGAATAACCTACCTAAAACACTACTTTTCACATCGTCCTCTGCTAACAGTACAGCGGGTAAAGATGCTATGTGCGTCGTGGCTTATATAGATCAGTCGAGATCTAAGGAGTACCCATGGCAATGTTGAATAGAATCTAAAATTGCTGCCTGAGCTTGGTGTGGGTTATTCTTATCATGGCTGTTTCTGAGAACCCTTAAGTTAGGTCTTCCAATGCTGACATGTCTGTGCATGCTGGATCTGTGCCTGCCGTCTTCCTCCGTTCAGAATACATCATTCTTGTAGCCCATGCATGCCATGGAGCAAGTTAACTTAAGGATCAAAACTCCAATCCAAACCATCATCAATGCAGTAATTTAACCCACCAGCTTCTGTTCTGCCCAAGACGCAGCTCTCGTCCTCGACACAGTCTACTTGGACTACATACAAAACCCAGACATGGATCCAGGGGGCATCCTAAACTATGTCTGGGAGTTAATGAATAGTTTCGCTAGCCCAATACCCTGAGAGCCCCGCACAGGAGAAATTGGTCACTATCGTGCAAGAGCTGACGGGCGTTACGTCAAAGCACACCATCCTGAACCAACAGCTGTGGAGTAACCTTCCCTACTTTCCCACTGAGTTTTCACAAACCTGGCAAGTTCAGTTCTTCTCTGATTCTTTTTCGATCATGTTGGAGCCTTGGGGAGAGCTAATGACTACTAGCGTTGAGTCCCGAGACGAACGACGAGGAGAAGACACGTCGATTTGTCATTCTCCAGGCATACGCGGCTCCAATCCTTGGGCTCGGTCTCAACCCGCTTGAGATATATGCAATCTGGGCGTTATCGAATGTGGCAGAGGGGTTCGTGCTGCCTGTTCGGGGCAGTCCCGATGTCGTTGAGACGATGCATACGGTTGAGGGTCATAGCTGATACAGGTTCAGACCATACTTTCAAGTCGCTAATGACTCAGTACATACAATATAATTTGTGCATTCTAATAGCCAGTCTCCTCGCTCATGCCGTCACTTCCTTCGTGCATATGCCCTTCATGGCCATGTTTTTTCGCAACAACCATTCGATCGGAATGCAGTGACACGCCCGCCTCGGTCACAATTGTATCCAATGCATCACGCTTCAGAAACATCATCTCGCAGTGATTGATATGAGCAAGGTTATTATACCGAGCTTCAATCACCGTACCCATCTCAGCAGCTAAGAACATCTTCTTCCAGTAGTATGCGCAATGCACAAGATGCCACTGATGTGTGGTAAAGAAGTGCGATCCAGTTTTAGGAAGCATGGACACTTCTTCGAGCGATAGGACCCGTGTTTTGTTTTTATCAGCATAGTACATCCAGCTCCCGTCGGAGTTGGGGCCCGTTGTCTCGAATTGCTCCAGAAGTTCGTCGTTTCGACAGGCGGGAGGGAGCCATGCAGCGGCAATCGAGTCATATCTGCAGTTGTTGGCGATGGCTTCTTCAACCGTCTCTCCACAGTTACAGGATATTGGCTTGCGAGAGCGGATCATGATGTATGCCCGGTATGTCAAATCGAGGAAGCCCACTGTCGCTAGCAGTAGAAGAAAGGCATATCTGATGCGAATGGTAAGCTTCCGATCACGCTTTGCCATGCCGGAAGATTCATAATGAGCTTCAAGATGGTCAGAACCATCCGAGCTACCTTCATCCAGAAGGCGCTGATATTTGGCCATTCCTCTGAGCGAACAAGCTTGATTCAGCCAGGGTCTATCGATAGAGGTTAACACCGTGCTTTGCAGCGGTGCTGGGAGAGTCAGACTGAGGCACGTTCAGAGATTTCGTACTAAAATGCAAAGACTCTCCAGTAAGGTGAACAATGCGGAGGCAGAAAGAATTTCTACACCATTGGCATCGAATATATGCACCCCGCTGGGAGAAAGGCTCGGGTAGGCGAAAGTTCTATACAACGCTTGTACCGAGTCCTTTTCCCGCCCCCAATCAAGGAAGCGAATCCTTCAGACATCCCCGACGTTACATTGCAGGATCCGATGTGTATTTTTGCCTTCCGGTTCTTCAGTGATATATCCAGTCATAGTCGAACTTTGTCACCAACTACCTGCAGGCGTAGACGCCGAATGGCGGAGGCCTACCACTAGGGATATCGGTCACGGACAGGTGGAAGACTACTGGGCACCCATAGAAATACAAGAGTGGTGCATCGTGAGTATACGTATCTAATGCGGGGTTCGGTTCAGGCAGATAAGATCGCTCTTTAGGAGTCTAGTACTACTTGGTGGGTTCGCGAAAGAGCGGGAAAGACCTCTGATACCAATTTCCATTTCAGGAATCATACTGTATTTGGCGCGGATAGAGTAGACCTTCTAGAGACATGCAGAATAATGGACTATACGCGAAATATCAACCACGCGAGTCACCTTGTGCTGCACTTGCAGTGACAGCAGTGACTACTCATAGAAGGGGATGGCCTCACTCTCCTCGGCCCGCTTTTCATAGAAAGGAATAGCCTCGCTATGTTCCTCCCGTTTGGGGTAAAATGGTATCGCCTCGTTATTTTCGTCCCGCTTCGGATAGAAAGGAATGGCCTCACTATTGTCCTCTCGTTTTGGGTAGAACGGGATAGCCTCGCTATTTTCCTCCCGTTTGGGGTAGAACGGGATAGCTTCACTATTGTCGGTACGCTTTTCGTAGAATGGGATAGCCTCGCTATTTTCCTCCCGTTTGGGGTAGAATGGGATAGCTTCACTATTGTCGGTACGCTTTTCGTAGAATGGTATAGCCTCGCTATTTTCGTCCCGCTTTGGGTAGAAAGGAATGGCCTCACTATTGTCCTCTCGTTTTGGGTAGAATGGGATAGCTTCACTATTGTCGGTACGCTTTTCGTAGAATGGAATTGCCTCGTTATCCTGACCAACTACATAGCCCAATGTCAGCAAAGAAACATTCATTTGGCGGTTTTTCGCACCTATGGGTGCAGTATAGGCCAGGGGCGCTCCAATGGCCAAAAGTGCGACAATGACGTTAAACTGCATGGCGGTGGATGATTCTGGAGGGAAATGTCTTAACGGCAGTAATGAACACACCAACGGCTAAGAGAAGAATATAGAGATGTACCCTCTGGTGTCTATGGACAGGATTTATATCCACGCTGCTATTCCTCCAGGGATGCGTGCTGAGGTAGAGCAACATACAATTTTCACTAAGGTTCAAAGTCGAGATCAGGCTTTCGACATCATAGATGTGGTCACAAGGATGATAATGCTGCAGAAGGATTCTATGGCTTTGCTCTAGATGGGCTAGGACACACGGTCAGCATATAGTGGATGTAACATGGACGACCTCCGGTGTATCCTATAAGCTGGCACATATGAATAAAGGTTCTATGCTTACATGAAGGATCTATATCTCCTCTTCGCCAAGCGTGCCAAGGGATGTTGTCGCGGAATCCCGACGGACGTGACTATCAACACTTCAGGCTTCGCTGAGTTACGATATTCCTCGTCATCCATCACTTCGGCTTGATATTATTTGTATCTTGGTCTAGCTGGGTCTTCTGGCCCTTGAGTATCCGTAAGCTCCTTGCACCATAATATGACTGATAACGAGGCTCACCCTTCTTCGCCGCAGCCATTCCTTCTCTCGTTTCACATACCTGCCGAGCCCTACCACTCTTGATATCCTCTTGGTTTTGTATTGCGTAACAAACTATAATATGTCGGAGGCTCAAGAAGGCACCAACGGCCTAGATGATGGGTCGCATTCACACTTGAGTCAAGAGGATCTAGCAAAACCCCTCCTGTTTAACAATGACCCTGCTGATGGGCCTGGTCATGGTCAAGTCAGATGGATCACGAGAGCAGCACAGCGGGTATACCCCCAGGGGCACGCCCTCATGCTGTGGCTCACTATTCTAAATGTGGTATTGTTGATAACCTCCGTTGTTCTCTTGTTCTTGGTATTATCGCGACAGACCTGCGTCCCGTACTTAAGCGATCAGGACAAGTGGAAGTCCACATCTCATTACGGTAACGCTGCATGAACCTTGCACTCAATTTCCACGTAACACTGACCTTTTTAGCACCTCTACTTGACCGTGTGGATATTCCAAGAGTTACCATAACGCCGAATGCATCATTATACGACACTGATCCGCCTTCCATTTTGCGGATCCCGACAGGGAGTGAAGCCGACGCAGAATGGTTCCGCATCGGCACCGGAGTCATGCCGATTATCATCTCCTCCGATGAAATCCACAGACTAGGAAAGGATCCCTCGGTTGCGGTCAAGATTCCAGAAGAGCATGGATACGGGGATGATGCGTATATCGCACAGACGGAGGTGTTCCATCTCCTGCATTGCATTGACATGTTGCGGAAGGAGATCTCCTACGAACATTACTATTTTCCTAAGTTTGGAAACAATCCGGACGCTGAGCATATGGCACATATTAGTCATTGCATAGATATTCTGGCACAGGCCATCAAATGCTCCAGTAGCGTTGACGTGATCCTGTTCAACTGGGTCGAGGGGTGGGATCAACCTTTCCCGGACTTCAGCAATCAGCATGTTTGCCGAGACTTTGAAGCTCTTCTGGGGTATGTCAATGAGAATTCGGTTCCACGCTCTGTGTGGAAAACAATGAAAGAACCGCCTGCGGGCTATGTGCGGCTGCCGGAACCTGCGCCGGCACGACGGGCCGAATCAGCTGGTGATGCTTGAGAGAATCTGCTTCTTATACACCCTTCATCCTCTATTAGACTATGTACCCTACTAGGACTTGCGGACACCATGCGTCGTAGCGGAGAAGCCATGGGTCGATGAGCGACTTCTAGTAGGTAGATCTCAGCAAAGCTTGTCCGTAGCACAGAAAACATTGTATAGAATTAGCAATGCAAGAAGAGACTGGAACGAAGACTCCCAGAGGAGCACAGTAAGTCACTCTGTGATGTTGTCTTGCAGATTTTGCATACAAGCGGATCCATAGTCAATTAGTATAATTTGAAATTATTTTGGTTGCTTGGGGTTAGCGGGTACTGTTGGTTGAGGTATTGCTGGGGCCCAAATATATATACCCGGAGCTACAGGTTATCTGTTCCAGCAGGTGTGTCTCAAGAGATTTGTCAGCCAGCTTCAGAGTTCCTTTTTGTTTTTCTTGTCCCCCCTGTCTTTTTCCTTTTCTCCTTTCCACCGATGTCAATCCATGGAGGAGTGTTGGTGTACGCGAAGTGTCGAGACAAGAAAATGACCAAAGTGTGTATATAACTTTCTGCATCCAAAGAATAAGCACATACGACCATAGGGTGTGGAGAACAGGGCTTCCCG